CGATCAGTGGCTATAAAGGAATTCTCCGATGTTCTCCGTCTATTGTTTACAAGGATAGCCCTTACGAAATGATTTCCATTAAAGGTGTCGCTTCCTAAACAGCTTTCATAGCACAAGTTGCAAACTAAACCCCAACAGTACGCCCTCAGCTATTAACCAATTATCACTATCCAAAGAGTGTCGTTAAGTTTCCCCAGTCAAGACTTCTTCCCAAGACAGCGCCATGATTGTTGTATATTAAATGACCACCAGTATTTTTAGATCTGCGCGCGTATAATTTCCATTAAATCAGTTAAATTTGTTCACGTATTCTGTTCACTCTCATATTTTGGATTGCAAGAAAGTATTCAGGTACAAAACGCTTGGATTTGATTTTATTTATATCTTGTTTAAGGCCGAAATAACCCAAGCTATATACCGATGGCATGTCAATAATCAGGTTTAGGCCAGGCATACCTCATAGTTTATAAGAAACGTCCATCGCCGGCCAACGAAGACACACAATCAACCTAAATAACTGCGCTTGACTTCCTGATTCATTTAGTTATATCATACTACATGGGCCTATTGGGAAATCACTCACCGTCTTAACACTTTTGTATAAAATGTATACAATGGGTGTTTATGCAGAAAACTCCAGAAATCCTCCATGTTAGTTTGCATATAGTACATATACAGTCATCAATACCAGGCCTGGTATTTTTCTCCATGGTATATTAATGAAATAAACATCCTCTGTTTTACATGCGGGGCTGGGTTTTCCGTAGATGTAACCCTTTTGAACTGAATTTGGAAACGAAAGTACCGGTAATGCAACCCTGCAGTGCAAACACAGTATGTTTACCTTCGTTCTGCCCTGACAACATTACTAGATAACTCTTTGAAGCTTGCATGTGTGTGTGTGTGTGTGTGTGAGAGAGAGAGAGAGAGAGAGAGAGAGAGAGAGAGAGAGAGAGAGAGAGAGAGAGAGAGAGAGAGAGAGAGAGAGAGAGAGAGAAATTGAGAAATGAAGTTCTATCATGAAGAACCTCTTTAGTATTCAATCAATCCCCCTACATCCCGAACTGATAGGCCTCTATTAACGATTAAGAGAGGTACGAGGGTGGAGGATGGCGGGCTGTGTTGTTAGACATGATCCTTCTAGTAAGGCAGTCACGATGCCTTGTCCACTAAACATCTAGTACTCCAGAATAGGAAAGGGCTGGGGCAGCAAAAGTATTTGTGGCTTAGATCTAGCACATGTCATTATCAATATCGTATAAATATTTTTCCTACAAGAAGTACCTTACGCGGTGACGAGGTCGTCAGATCAGCTGCTTCAATCAGGGGTGATCATCATGATTTGAAACCGCTGACTGACGTCTAAGAACCGATTAATCTGCAATGGCTATTTACCATACAAGGTATGCTAGTATTTGACAATGTTAAATGATTCGTGAACACTTCATCGCTTTTACAATTATAAAGGCGATGATATGTTGTGCAGACATTCGTTATTCATACGTCAGAGAATCCGTTGATAAAAGGTTCGAATCCCAGACTCAATACCCGTATGCATGCACCAAACCCGTGCCTGTCTCTAAAGTTATTGACGACTAAGACTTTACCACATTACCACGTGCAATCCTCCAACATTAAGCAGGCACTGTTACCGTCGGGTGTGGCGCAGAACGATGTATATGTATGGCTGAAGGTCGTCTTGACATTCTCCTTCCTAATCACTTCCGGTGTTTTACAGGGGATGAAGATGGGATAACGTTTTGAAACCTTTTGTCTTGCTTGCCATCAACCGTCACATGAAAGGATTGTTAATTTAGAATCTATTTCAGTTTTCGTAAAGTCTGAGTATGTGTTACACAGGACAATAAAGCCTGACCGCGGGGTCTGCTATTACAAGGTTCTCTGGTTTCTGATAAAAGCGGGATTCAGTTTCAAACAGAGTTGTTTTATGAAAGTTATACGTTGTCTACGCTTTTTTGCTGATTTCGTCTTTTGTTGTGAAATCTCATGCAAGAGATTATTACGTCTAGATTTATCGGGTTCTATCATAGAATGAGCAGGACAAATTGGACGCACACATACATAAATTCATACTTACACACACATGCGTACGTACTTATATACACACATACATACATACAATATAAAAACTGGTAGATATATAAAGAAACCAAAAAACTCAAGATTGTGTGAAATGTGTTCTGTAATTATGTAGAAAATGAGTACCACTTTTTACTGATTTGTACTGTCTATGATGATCTACGTAACGTTTTATCCCTGTCGATGTGTTCACCCATCCAACCTTGTGTAAATTTAATCGACTGATGAGTAATGCTACTCCTCTTGTTTTAAGAAATCTTGCCATGTTTATCTTCTATGCCTAATAATCGTTGTCGCTGCAGCTTGAAGGCTGCCAATGTATAACGTTGTACCATGGGCCGATGCAGGCCTACATTTACACAAATAAAGACTATACATACATACATACATACATACATACATACATACATACATACATACATACATACATACATACATACATACATACATACATACATACATACATACATACATACATACATACATACATACATACATACATACATACATACATACATACATACATACATACATACATACATACATACGCGGGCATGCAGAGTCATAACTGAGAAAGTATTCTAAAACATGTGTTTGTATCTCGCACACACAACGTGGACAAGAGTGCTGTCATACCAATAATGACATCTTTGCCAACAGGATTGCTTTACCTGTCTTTCTAAAAGTTATTACTAACACAAACGTTCACATTTGGCAACATGTTTGACCCAAGCCCAATCAGCACCCAAGTTTGGTCGTTCGCCACCTCTTTGTATGGGTAGCGTGGGCTCTGAAGTTTAACAAAGGCAGAAAGCGATGGAGTCTACCCAGCCCTCTGATGAGTTGGATGAGAACATATATTTGGAAATTAAAATGAAGTTTGGCCATTTCGACCAGCACATCTTTCAACAAGAGCTTTTGACTATTAACAGTGAGAATGCAAAAGACATCAACTATATACGAGAACGCCTGTACGACCATGGAAAGGACAATTCTCACTCGTTTCCTGTTGGTCAAGTAGTACGGAGAAGATTAAATAACGCAAACACAAAGTCTATCCAGAAAAAGTACTCGCAAGACGCATACTACACGTTTCACTTCATTATAGGAGAAATTCCTGAATATGTTCTACAGACTAAAGTGTTTAGCGAAACAAGCGCACGGCCAAGTGACAACTCCACATCCAGATTATGAGCAGATGACACGGCAAATGAGAGCGATGACAACACCGGGGATGAAGACAGCCAGGGCAGTAAAATTAACAGAAGAAGGTTGCAAGAAACAGAAGATGCAGTAAAAGATTCAGGTACTCCATATTTAGTCCTCAGTCACCTAATGCAGCTATCGCAATGCATATCTAAATAGCTGGCATTATGTCAGAGGTATTCTGAATCCTGGAAAAACAGCTTCCGTAAATCAAGGCACAGCGAACGTCTGAATGGAAGCACAGTGATTGGAAATCAACACCCTCAACGAACAACTTGTGGGATCGGAAAACACACGAGCGGAGGCAAGACGGAATTAAAGCTTCAAAATCAGGAAATCAGTTCGTGCAAAGATGAATAAATGAACTTGAACATGAACTCTTGCGATGAAACTACTCTATAAATTCTAATCTCAAGGCAGCAATAAATAAACTTGAGGACACATCCTGCAAAGTGAAGTCCTCTTATGCAGAGGCTGAAAACTCCACCACAGCATGCCCTGCACCTGACAATGTCACCAAATCCTGAAAACAGAAGGCATATGTGTGTCCATGGAAAACGAAAATGTTTCATCACGGATTCTTTGAAGCGACAGCGTGAATATCATGTGCACAGGGAATACATGTACCAGTACGTCACAGCAACAGCCACGACCGTCAAGTTTTAGAATCAAAGACTTAATTGTTTTTGCTTTTTGTTGTTTTTTTCTGGGTTTTTTTTGTTTGTTTGTTGTTGTTTTTTGTGTTTGTTTGTTTGTTGTTGTTGGGGGGGGGTTGTTTGGTTTTAATTTTTTGGGTGGTGGTGTTGGGGTCATTCACATTTTACATGCTTCTCCGTAAAAAAATCATCATCACCCCCCCTTACCAACTACTTCTGGCATATGCGAACTATGGGGCGATTACTACCCGACCTGTCGCAGCCATACTACTCTGAAAGTTTTGATGATCATTTCAAGTCACATAAGCAAAAGGCCCAAGACAACCAAAGATAATAAGGATGATCTAACTGTAACAGATGAAAAGCTGTACAAAACTATAGATCCTGGAGAAATCTCACTACAAATACGCAGTCTGTGTAAGAATAAAAGTCTAGGAACAGATAACGTTTGCAATGTAAATTTGTTGTCTGAAAGCAGTAGCCTTCTCGAGAAATTTACCATTCTGTAGAACATTATTCTCCAAACGGGATATCTCCCAAAGACCTATACACTTGGAATGGCAATCTCTATATATAAAGGAATAACAGACAATCAGATCCAAAATACTATACAGTGATTACTTTAACATCATTTAATTATGGGAAATTCCTGGAAAAAGTCATTTTTAATAGGTTTGAACAATGGTGAAAGATAAACTATCAATTCTTTCCAGACCCTCTACGATTTGGATTTCGTAAAGAACGTGGTGCTGTGATGTCTGTCTTGACAGACATTACATGAATATATTACACATTATATATCTAGAAAATCACCGTCTTCGTAGAAGAGCCACGAGGAGAGCACCCGTCCTTGTCCGACACCTTGTTCAACTTAAAGACTATGTGACAGTTCACCACGGTAGGTGACATACGTAGAGCTATTGCTGTAACTTTGAGAAGATTCCACATCTTCCGATCAAAGCCTAGGTCATATAGCTTTACAAAGAGGCCAAAATATTAATATGAATATTACATACAATTCAGCAATAACACTAGGTATATATATATTATATTTTATTTCTGTATAACAAAACATATATTCAAAACACAATCATAGCACAAAGTTCCAACATGTCCAGCTTCAGTGTTGTCTGAAATTTGTGTCACCCAACAATTGGGTCCGGGTTGTCATCTGTCTGAAACATGAAGACAAGTATAAGTACCACAATGAGTGACTAAGACTTAGTTAGTTAATATAAGTACCACAATGAGTGACTCTATGACTTAGTTAGTTAATATAAGTACCACAATGAGTGACTCTATGACTGAGTTAGTTAGTATAAGTTCCACAATGAGTGACTCTATGAATGAGTTAGTTAATATAAGTACCACAATGAGTGACTCTATGAACGAGTTAGTTAGTATAAGTTCCACAATGAGTGACTCTATGAATGAGTTAGTACGTTGTAGTTGAGTGTAAAACCACTTGGAAACACAGCAGTACTGATGTTTCACTGCATGCCAGCGTCATGCCTGACTGACCTAGGTAATATAATCGGGGATATTTAAAGCCCAAATCAACAGTTAATTGTGGCCCTTAGAGCACTCAGTATCCTAGTAGTACATATCAATTAGCCTTAACCAGTAACGACAGTGTAGCCGCTTCGTGTCAGGCTTGTGAAATGTCGTGTATAGCTGTGATGTAAAGTGATGTGTACGCATCAATGGATTACACTCATCATGGTTCCCAGTCTCAAGAGGACTAAAACAGGGCTGTTTACTCTCTCCCATTTTATTTAATCTACTTGTTAATGATCTGATTGTTCTCCTTAGTAACAGTGGACACGGCGTGACAGTTGATGACTACACCGTGCCATGCCTAGCTTACGGTGACGACTTATGTCTGATCGCGGAGACTGAAGAAAGGCTGAACCAACTGTTACATTTACTAGATGGATGGTGCATGTCAAACAGACTGAGTATAAACCTGCAGAACTCTATCCCACGTACAACAGCTACTTTCTTTTTGTCCAGTGGACCACTTGAAGCCGTCTCTGGTGACAGAGCACATGGACTATAACGCAAAGGCTAAGAATGCAGCGAAATTCGCCGGCAGAGAACTGGGTCTCCTCATAGCGAAATCGAAATCCATGGGAGGTATGCCATTCAAGACCTACATCAAGCTTTATGATAGTATGGTGTGGTCAACACTTGATTGTGGTAGTCCAATATGGGGGACACATAACGTGTCAGCTGTTGCTGCTGTTCATCATCGAGCTTAAAGATTCTTTCTCGGACTGGGTAAATATGCACCAAATGTTGCCGTTAATGGGGACACAGGTTGGATTCCGTCCATAGTAAGACAATGGACGAGTGTTACAATGGTGTAGACTTAAAAATATGCAAAATAGGCTGAATAGTATAATTTTTGTTTGGGCCGAACAAAATGCGCAATCTGCAAACAACTGGAACCGAAGAGTATCTAAGAAATTAACTTCCCTGGGTTTTCAAGAGGTATTGCTATGTAACAGTCATATACAGAAACGTAGCTTCTGTTCTATGGTCCAGGAACGTCTTACTAATGATTATATCAGTCAGTGGAAAGTTGATCTCACGTCAGAACGGCGACGTCAAGGGAGTAGCAAGCTAAGGCTCTATAACAAGTTCACGTCAGTGTATACTGCGAAAACATACCTACTGAGACAAATGCCTAAATCTTATAGATCTGCACTATCCAAGTTTCGCTGTGGCGTTGCCCCTATCAGGATTGAAACAGGGAGATATGAGAAGATTCCACGTGAAAACCGTACTTGTTTCCACTGTAAAGATGTTGTTGAAGACGAGGCACACGTCATTCTTCACTGTCCTTTATATAATGATATCAGATCTGACCTCCTGAATATATGTAATGGTAAATTTCCTGGCTCTATTAATATGCCGGATATAGATAAACTGGCCACCATTCTACACGTCAGTGATATTTGTTTTGTTGCAGCCAATACCTGCCAAGGAATTTTATTGAAGCGTCGTCAGACGATATATGTATAAACCTTTGATCTTTTTACTGTATTATTAAACCGTTTTATAGTCTCCCATAACTCCTTAGAGGAGTGGTGCTGTTTTTATGTGTGTATATTCCTTCCATGAAAAGATGTAAAAGTAGAGAGACTGAAATAAACTTTTGTCTGTCAGTCTGTGAGTGCCGGTCAGAAATAGGTGGGGATTTCTACACATAGCCGTAAGCATCAGGATACCTTTTCTTCACACTAGCTCCAGCGAGTAAATGTCTGTGGAAGATTACTTGCTGATGATTCGAATTGCTGCTGTACGTACGAGTTAATAAGTTGTGGATTAAATTTCCACTCAGATATTCCACGCTGACATTAGACTCACTTGAGGGTTCTGATGGGGGTTAAAAGTCCCTTGTCAGTACATTTTAGGGCCGTTATTCAGTAGTCATTATTCTAAGCGTTTAGTGAAACACTTAGACAGGGGGCACATTCTTATTTCTGGGATCTACTCACATACCAGCTTTAGGGCAGTAACAATAGTAAGTAGAGCTTGAATTAATGCTTAGTATTTCTAGTGACATTTCAAGTGATTATTTTGGATTAACACTGGACTCATCTTACATTTACTTTAGACATTTTACCTTTTGCGGTAAATAGTATCCCCATCAAGACCCTCTCAGTTGTTTCATTTTAGCGATGGCAGAATACCCGCTTTTGGTTTTCATTACTATTTTAGAAACAAACCTAACGTCAACACTACGGACATGGGTAGGGGGTGGACTCGATATTACCTGAAACCATCACCCAGGGTCTGGGACATGGAGTTTGGTCATTCGTTTCAAACTTTAGGGTTTTCTTTTACGTGTCAGTTGTTTTTTTAAAATGATTTTTTTCGCAAATTATTTTATCATTATGCCATGTTGTTGATATTGCCAACCAAACATTGACGTTGGTTTATAATATTGCATTTTGATTCGTACGTTGGGCTTAGTTGCCCAGCCAATAGAATAGGCAAACAGAAATCAAGGGTAGGTAATTTGAGATTGCGAGACGGTAATGGGTCGAGGACTTAGTGCAGGTACACCGCAGATATATATACCTGCCCTGGAGATACAGAGGTAGAGAGGATGCTTTACTTGCATCAACTGGCATGTTTCAAATAACGATGAAAACACTGTGGAATTCATTCCACTATCAGTATTTGTTTGAAAGTTCTGTGAGAAGTTGTTACACACGAAACAGTCGAAAGCTGCTAGTTTGGGTCAATATACCGTCAGTATCCCGCTATGGAATGTTATCATTCCACACCACAACAAGGAATTCAGTCTTGTATAGTCTTGGGATTTGATGATAGGTTTCAAAGGAAGTCTTTCCGCGTTCTGTATGTTCCATTGTAAGCCAGAGTTTGCAGAAATTGGTGTTCCTAGATTGGGTCAGGTGGGTCAGTCGTCTAAGGCGGATGCATTCGCTGTGCAGAATTGCGCCTGAAACCAACGACTGTGGATTCGAATCCCGGTTCTAGGTTTGTCAGCACCATACCTGTGTTTGTTGGTTTCACATTCAGTAAATGTCTAGAAACTGCACCTCTTTGAGATTTTGATTGGTATTAAAACTTAACTCGCAGTGACTGTAATGTCGTTAAGAGCGGAATTAAACCCAGCTGCCTAACTGACTATGTCAAGATTTGTTTTGACTAATAAAAATTATATTTAACAGAAAAACATAGAAAGTTCGGCAGTAGCAAGGGGTATAACTACAAAACATATCATTATACAAGTACTAGTTGGTCCACTGTGCCTCGCCACTGATTATAGAGTTTTGCCAGTCCCCACATCCACAGTTATTTCTGCAGACATATGATAGCTCACTGTCTAGCTAGTCGAAATTGTTGGGAGAAATACAATGCAAATCTCACGAATAGACTCGTATTCTATTGCCTTGTTTAATGTTCCGGCTGAAGAACACGATTAGAAATGACATACCTTTAGTGTGACGTCATCAATGGCGAGGTCGCTCCCGTAGTGATGAAGAGCCGTTGCCGATATTGTCAGCTAGAATGAGATAGAGGATCTCGTGTTTCAAATTTTCATTAAATGTCGACGCGGGTACATGATCCTCAGTTTCTACGTTTATGTAAAACGACGGCTAGGAAGTTCGGAGGAAATGGCAGTTACAGCAAGTTGGATTAAAACCATTCAGACACCACTCGTTTGTGTCATTACTCAAGTTATGTCTTACCTTTTTTAACAATCTTGACATGTCACTCACATTAGTCATCTTATCTTTTCTGGTGAGTCAAGGCAGTGGGTGATATTTTCGTAATCAGCCCAGAAGAGTGTAACACCCCATGCTATGCGTGCACATGCAGCTGCTCAGATGACTTACTCTGTATGTTCCCAGGGGCAGTGCTACTTGCCCCTCTAACCACTGTGGCCCCTGCCTCCCAGCTAGTCTCCACAGCGTGGTCACAGTGCCGTCAGCCGTCAGCTTCTGGACACGCAGAGATCCAATGTTGGCTCCATTCATGTAATACCAAAAGGTCAAGGACGACGTTGTTTTGATATCGAGGTCATGTGTTACGAGGACAGCAGTCGCAGTACTATTCTCGACGAGGCGACCGTCAAGGAACATGAAGTAGCCATCTACAATGTTAGAAGTCATCATCTCATCAACAGTTCAGTCTGTCGAGTTATTCTGTAACGCCAGTAATTTCCCACCTACATAACGGCGGTGAACGTCTGGACCAGAAAATCCAGTGATTTACATCATGAACTTCGATCTGCGCAGCTGAGATACGATGGCAGGCATCAACCGAGTGAGTGAACCTGACCACTCGATTCCGTTAGTCGCTATTTACGACAAGCACGGCATGCTGAAAAACAATTCTATGCCGGATCTTCACGGGTCCAGTAATACTATGTGGAAAAAGTGCTTGGTTGAGTAGATGTAGTCTGTTAGGATAATACTAAACAGAGACCGTTCTGTCACGTCAGTGCTGCAAAAAATGTTTCACTGCAGTGATATCACCATGAAAATGTGGTTTCATTTCAGAGTTGATGTATCGGATTATCTTGCATGTACGTTAGTACCGACATATCACAGTGGATTAATAAACACACCCTGTCGGGCTGATCAGTGTCTTTCCCATTAGCGATCAGAATCAGGCCCGACTGGTAACAACTTGGAGTTACCTCCCTTAGTGCTGGTTATGGGCGTCTGTTCGGCAGGCTTCCCCTGACAACGTCTCCCGAACAAGGAGAAGATGTACTGATGTTATGGGCGTCTGTTCGGCATGCTTCCCCCTGACAACGTCTCCCGAACAAGGAGAAGATGTACTGATTCTGATGTTATGGGCGTCTCCTGTTCGGCATGCTTCCCCTTACAACGTCTCCCGAACAAGGAGAAGATGTACTGATGTTATGGGCGTCTGTTCGGCATGCTTCCCCCTGACAACGTCTCCCGAACAAGGAGAAGATGTACTGATGTTATGGGCGTCTGTTCGGCATGCTTCCACCTGACAACGTCTCCCGAACAAGGAGAAGATGTACTGATGTTATGGGCGTCTGTTCGGCATGTTAACGTCTCCCGAACAAGGGAAGCGTCTGATGTTATGGGCGTCTGTTCGGCATGCTTCCACCTGACAACGTCTCCCGAACAAGGAGAAGATGTACTGATGTTATGGGCGTCTGTTCGGCATGCTTCCACCTGACAACGTCTCCCGAACAAGGAGAAGATGTACTGATGTTATGGGCGTCTGTTCGGTATGCTTCCACCTGACAACGTCTCCCGAACAAGGAGAAGATGTACTGAGTTATGCTTCCACCTGACAACGTCTCCCGAACAAGGAGAAGATGTACTGATGTTATGCCATATGATCAAAGGGTACGGCATTTCATAACAAAATCATCATATGGTAGTTTTCACATGATACCCGATATTAACTCACGACCCAAATTTCAGCCCTATGGGCTACGTCTCTCACTCTCAGGCTGATGGGTCGTATCAATCAAAACTGCCATACAGTAACTTCTAAATATTATACTCACGTGCAGTGGTATGATCGGTGGTTGGTCCAGAGACAAAGTCTGGGGTCGCACCCGTCCATCTAGTCCAATCCAGGTTGTCTCCCTTGTATTGCGACCATCCGCACATATCAGTCTCGAACGAGCACGTGATGGGCTTGGGTGCTGGAACATACATTGAGCCTGTCACACTGTCTTCGAATGATTCATCCGAAAAGTCGTAGTGGTACCAAAGAGTGTGGTAGTGAGGGGAAAAAATTCCAAACATTGGAACATGAACATAGACCCCAAGTTTGGGTACATCAATGTATACAATATATGTAGTAAAACGTTACACAACACGTCGTTTAACAATGTAATGGAACATATTCCGGTGGGATACCTGGTTCGACAACGATCATCCACATGAAGTGCGGGCTGTATTTTAGTGGTCTATTATGTAAGAGGTCACTCCCTTGTACGGCAGGTAGCGCAAACCGGTATAAAACTTTTGGGGTCGCGTAATCTAACAAGCACAACCACCAGTTCAGAACGTTCACAAATTAGAGAAATATATCACGATGAATGCCAGAAATGAAATAATGTTTGGTTCCGGGAATGAATTGGGTTGTATCTTAGAGTAACATTTGCTGTAAATTGGAGGGTGTAGACCAATATTTGGAGATGGTTTAAGTTAGTACAATCTTACTGACTGACTGACTGACTTTGGTTTTACGCCGCTTTTTGCAATATTCCAGCAATATCACGGCGGGGGACACCAGAAATGGGCTTCACTCATTGTACCCATGTGGGGATTCGAACCCGGGTCTTCGGCGTGACATGCCAACGCTTTAACCACTAGACTACCCCACCGCCCCTAGTACAATCTTAACATCGAAGAAGAAGAGGAAGTGTTACAAAACAAACCACTAACTCCAATGCCTTCATTATATTACCACATTAACCATAGTTTAGGAATGGTTGGATATACTTTGTTCAAAGCAGAATAACAACCTATGATTTGGGGGATGGTGCTTAACTCTTCTCGTGGTCTCTATAGTGAGATGTTTCATGCTTGAAGTGTCACCGTGGATAGGTTAATTACTAGTATTTCCAAGATACCTGTTGTTGGTGGTGTTGGAGTTGTTGTTGTCGGCGTTGGTGTTGTTGTCATGGGAAACACTGCAACACCCGAACAAAATGTTAGAACTCTTTCGTTTTCACATGGCAGAGAGGCGCTAATTCAACAACTACCACTTGCCATCTAGTGTAAATACCTTCAGACGATGCCGTTGTAATTATTTGGTTTAATAACCTATTCAGCTTTTTCTAAACTTTATCTGTTTAGGAGATCAGTCTTTTATTGAATATTTTGTTCAAGATATGTTTGTAATTAAACGATGTTGTCCTATCACACATGCCTTATAATACACACTTTGACCTCTGCATTTAATCTTATTACGTTGGCAACTGGGTCATATAAGTGCATAAATCATTATGCGTGTTTATTACCGGTTGTGAGTTATAGAATACAGCAGTTTAAGCCATGGCAATTTTGTATCTGTGTTGATTCTTACCTTCAAACACAGAGGCTACGATATCGTCGATTGCAATGTCGCTACCGTAGTGCAGCTTGGCCGTTGCCTCAATCACGATCTGGCACCAGAAACACACACGACCATATAGTAAAATACTTGCTGGCGAGAATGTAGGAAGACTTCGTTTCATACAGACACATGAATTACAAATAAACCAGACTGTGTACCATAAAAATATACTCAAAGGCAAAAGTTATTGTGATTAACTTAAAGTTAATATTGCAAGAAGATCATTCCAAAATAGGATTGGAAATTGCACATTAAAAACTTTTCTAGCGCACACATGCTCAATGAGGTCACAGTGAGAGAACGGTCAAATGGAATTCACACAGCCAATGTATGCATGTCCACCATGAGCACTGATGCATGTTGGACACCTGCACCTCATAGAACAAATCAAACTTCACAAGAAGTCCCATATCCATGGAAGCACCTGGCAGAGTTCCTGAAGCGTGACTGGGGGATTTGGCCAACGTCTCAACCTCCTCATTTCATCAAAGATGCGTTCGATAGGGAGAGATCTGGGGATTTAGCGGGCCAGGGAAGGACGTTAACATTGTGCTGCGCCAAGAACTGCTGAACCACCCTGGCGACATGAGGTCTGGCGTTGTCCTGCTGGAAGATCATTCCTGGAACATTCTTTTGGAGAAACAGTATGACGACTAGATTACCAATTTCGTCTCTGTACCTGAGACCCGTTAAATATCCATTAATGACAAGCAAAGGTGTACGTCCAGCACTCGTTATCCTACCCCATCCTAACCATCACACCGCCAAAACGGTCGGCCTCAAGGACACAGTTCCTAACATAACGCTCACCACGACGCCGGTAAACTCGGGTTCGGTAATCAGCGCGGTGCAATCTGGACTCGTCAGTGAAGGGAATATGTCTCCACTCACGCGCCCTCCGCCGCAGATGCTGTCTGCGTCACTGCAGTCGTAGACGTTGGTGACGTAATGTCAACATTTTGCGTCTGGCAGGACGTCTAGCACGTATCCCGTGTGCAGCAGAAGCCGGCGAATAGTCCTTGGGGATATTCTCTTGACAACAAGAACTGTTCAGGCTGTCAGTGCGGCTGGTTAGAATCTTTGGCGCAGATGGGTGGTTCGAATCCGACGGCGTGGTTACTAGTGGGCGGCCAGTCGGGGACGGTCTGCAATGACGGTGTTTTGTTGATAACGTCTCCACAAGCGGCATGTGTTTTCCTGTGCACGTTAAACTGTTGTGCAGCGTTGCACCGAAATGTTCCGGTTTCAAGCATTCCAGTGACTCGCCATCTTTCATTTTCAGTTAGCCGTGGTATAGAGATTCTTCAAAATTTGTGTTTTTCGGACCCGTCGACGTCTAAACAATGAAGTGAGTGACAATGATTCGAGGTCTAGAGCTACAATTTTTAAAAGGTACGTTTAATGCCTTTTTCCACGGACTTATTTAAAGCACGAAAAGCACATTCAAAACAGAAACTAGCGACAGGGCCCTGTTTGCGTTATGGATTAAGTGTATTATAAAGAATATTAAACTGCCTTATAAAGAAAAATATTATTTATATAAACAAATGTGTTGATCACACACCTTTTGCCTTTGAGTATATAATACATGATTGTGTTCTCACATAGACAATACGCACTCACCCTAAACCTGCCGGGCTGAATGTTGACATGCCCCTGATGCCAGTCGGGCCCCTGTCTGCCACTGACGGAAAACAGCTCTGACGTGAGGTGGTCAAGCCCTAGACGGAGAACCTTGAGTGTGCCAATGCCTGCGCCGTTCATGTGATACCAAAAGGTCATGTTGGAGGGGCTGTAGGCCTCTATGAAGGGCGTGGTCAGGCGAGTGTACTCCCCCGGGTGGCTGGAGTCTGCTCCACGCATGTACACGTAGTAGCCACCTGTGTGGAATGGGGGAGATCCGTGAATTCGTAGTTGAATATTCCAGCATAAAGATGTCAGTCTGCTATAGGAAATATGTCTGGACAGGGAAATCCAGTGTTTGAATTCATGAGCATTGACACATGCGATGCTGATAAATGACGACAAGCACAGCCGGGGACCTATACGGGGATTTCACAGTTAACATTGATCATAGCCTCACAGCATATCAACACAGGAAGGGAATCACTGATGCTAATGGTAACCAACACACCACGTATGCCCCAAATTATAGTTGATATACATATTGTACATGATAAAATAAGGTTTTCATTTCAGTGAGGCCCAAAGAATTACAATAGCATTTATACAAAATGTTCGACACAGCAAGACGGGGGGATAAGATTATCAGCAAAGGTATGTTATTACGTTCAATTAGTACTCACTTCCGGTGGTGTGGTCTCCTAAAGGTCCGGATGAACGGTCGTCAGACAAACCCTTGGTTCGCCTCCAATCAAAATTGTCCACGTTGTCTTGAGCCCAAACACACATGTCCTTCTCGAATGCACAAGAGAGTCCTATTTTTGCTTCAGAAAAAAATAACTATTTTGTAAGATTAGTTGTGAAGTATGTTTGTCTGTCTGTGCATTCAAAGTAATGGTTTCAGTATGACAAAACTTTATGTGCCCAACTTACGTCTTGGTGTTGTTGAAGGTGTGGGGGTAGGTGTAGTGGTCGTAGTAGTTGTTGTAGTGGTAGTGCTAGGCCTTGTGATACCTGTCACTTCTGAAATTCATTAATGCATTTATACAAAAATATCAATTGTTTCTTTCTTGTTTTCACAAGTAGAACTGCAACTTCTCAAAGTCGTAGTAAACGTTAAGACAAGGGCTCCATTGCACGAAGCCCTGTATTAAATACCTTAGAATTATCTACACTCTATTATTGCCTTGTGGAAGATAGATCTTATCTAAACATTCTTCTTTATTTGAAGTCCATGGCGACCAATTGGACGTGTATATACGATTTGCGACAGACCGACTTCCCCATTAAGGAAATACATGAGATCGATAACTGATGCCAATCATTGAAATATGTGGACTGTAGAGTATCCACAGAAGAGTACAGGCTGTCCACCAGATATCATCCATTATAATGGCATTTACATCTAAACAGAGGTGAATTGGCAAATATATCTGATACAAGACACTTTCTTGAAAACTATTTTAGCATATTATGTACAAGGAACAGAAGACAGTGTTCATGTTGTACAGAGGTGACACAACCTGATATAAACATATGAAGAGCTCAGCCACTCGCCTGGGGGTTCATGAGTGACGTGAATGTCGTCAACGGCGATGTCGCTGCCAATATGAAGCCGCGCTGATGCTTCCAACTCTACCTGAAAATAACAAATGCATATTATATTTCAAACTGTATGCTGATGTCAACAGTTTTACATTGCCCCATTAAGTATTGCGAAATAGTTATTTGTTACACTTCAGTCAACTATTATAAAGGTAGTTTACATTATTATATCACATTACCAAAAGCGTATAGTTTCATCTGTTCTGAATAATTTGTGTACTGCATATAAAGTATCATTAAATATGATATATACATATCCGGGACATATACAAACTAACATGTTTTCGCTACGAAACACACACACACACACACCACACCCCACCCACCCACCCCATACGTCCGCAAAATGGCCCATGGATCATACGATTTCCCGTGCACTTTGGTAGGGGTCATTCATGATGTTTCACACTTCCGTGAAAAGCTTTAGTATTGTTGATCTTCTTTATCCTCGGGGCGGTGGGGTAGCCCAGTGGTTAAAGCGTTCGCTCGTCCCGCCGAAGACCCGGGTTCGATTCCCCACGTGGGTACAATGTGTGAAGACCATGTCTTGTGTCCCCTGCCGTGATATTGCTGGAATATTGCAAAAAGCGGCGTAAAACCCAGCTCACTCACTCACTCACTCACTCTTTATCCGCAATAACAGGTAACCCTTCAATACAGTATTTATTATCAGTGGTAGAATTCAGCGAGAGGTAGCCACGTTGTTGAATGTCTCTCTCCCTGTGATTCGCCTACTTTGTAACGAGTTGTTGCAGACACAACATTTTAATGATCAGTACCGAAGTCCAGCATCACAAGTTCAGGAGCCAGTCATCGGAAACTAGGCTTAGCAATGGACGCCAATCACCTCGCTGTTCACTGACGCCAGGCCACCGAGGGTCAAGTTACTGAGCATTATCTCGGCGTGTTGTACCACGTGAACAAATTGACACGTTCTATTCAGTGGTGTTTAGATCGTAAAAAAATTACAACAGCCGATGGTGTCAGATGAGTAATGATTCACAATCGACATTCACAATTCACTATGTGTCGACGTGTCAAGCGGAAATCACGCTAACGTCAACGTAAGGCAATATGACAGACTTGGAGATGGTACTGTAATCATATCGGGAGGGATCACGATGAATGCCAGACCTCCACTGCATATTATCCATGGAAGTCCTTTGACGGTATTACCGAAACTTCGGAACGGTGCCATTAGTCGTGCACCGGGCTGCTTAACAGTTCGTCTGAACATCACCAGAATACAATGGTCCGTCATGAATCCTGAATTTCCCCCAACTGAGCACGTATTAGATATGATCGGAGACGTGTACGCCAACATCATAGGCTTTTTGTCATGTTAAGTGCAGCAGTGGGAATGGGCAAGACGTCCTCCACCTTGGGACATTGATTCCGACCATGCCACACCCTACGAACGACTGTCTGACCAGTGCCGGGACAAATTACTGCAAACATCATCTCAAACGTTCATATTGTGACCACAAATGTGTCGTTCTGTTGATTGTCAAGTTATAATTAGTCCTTCATGTTACTTACCACTCCTTTCCATCACTCGATACCTCTTTGTATATCTCTAACCACGTGATAATTTCGAATATCCCCCCAACTTATTTTGAGAGTATATATTATGAGTGATATTCAACACTCATTTGACGAGATTCCTGTAATATGACGGCGTCGGAGGGAAGGACATCTTGTTGTTGGTTATGGACGCATTCCACACATGGTGGACACTCGGACACTGGTTACTTGGCTGGCAATAGAATGGTCATTATGATGGTAATTTAGGATTAAGGTATCTTGTCATGCCTACCTCATACAGGCCAGGGGGAATTTTGACTTGGGCCTGCTTCCATTCGTTGCCTTGACGACCAGACAGCCGCCACAGAAGAAAGCGTCCGCCGCTTGCAGGCAGCATCGACATTGACAACGTCCCTATTCCGTTACCGTTCATGTGGTACCAGAACGTGAGGGTTATAACAGACGTTACTCTTAGGAAGGGGCTGACGAGAGTGGCATGTGCGTTGGCGTCACGGGCGTCCTCGCCTCGGATATACACATACTGTCCTCCTGTGGACGGGGATATATACATGAGACAGTCAAAGTCCGAGAAAGGCAAATATAGTGTGCATGAGTTAGTGAACCTAGTCAACTGTATCACATCATAATCTCTGTACAAATGGATAATTATTGTGCAATCAGAAAGTGCTGGAAAAAGTTTCCTTTTCAATTATACGATCAGACAAGCTGAGAGGGTAGAGCTGACCAACGGTCCGTTCAGTTAGTGTTGGATTACATAAGCAGCTTCAGCACTGCAATAGCTGGATGTGCACTTCAGTCAGCAACCAAACATCAACGACAGGCTAGGAACATGTAGCACTAGCATTACCAGTACTGGATTATGTAGGTACCTCTAATAACGGTAGACAGAGACAGACAGGTATATAATCATAGAAATAAAGATATACATGTATCAGCATTTATATCATGGTCTTGAACCTACTATACCAATGTCTTGAAAAAAACATACCATAACAGACGACTGACAAAAACCTACACATATGATCTTACTCAATTAAATGGAATGTAACGAAAACCAAGCATGAGAGTTCAGAGAAACAAATACATCCTGGCTTTGAGGACCAGCGACGAGTTTTGCTCAACTGCCCTGGCCCTAGGAATAAGTCTGTCAAAACTTTCTACAGGTTCCTATTGTTTCAGTGAAACTTCCATCGACAGTAGCTTCCAGTTTAATCATAGTTGCTTGCTTCTATGATTATTATTTCGTTTCACGTACATATTAAACAAGATATGCATTTCTTCTCTATGGTGTCATGCAAGCGCGATATAATCAGCTCAAACACTCATCGTGAACTTTGGCGTTATCTCTTTGTCCCGTATCGGCATGATCTCACAAACAGCAGCTCGCCACCGTTACATAAAGATGACTGTGGTCATTCGATACTGGTCACACTTTTTATCCGACCAATCAGAACGGCTCTTATGAGATCACGAAATTGAGTCCGAATGTGCGTTCGTTGAGGTTTGATATTTTGGAATCCTGCAACCTGAAAAAGGTTCACAAGTGGCATTCCGAACAGCGGTTACAATGTGTACAACTGATTCAAGTCCGACTTTCCATAGTCCGTGGTAGGTATAGCCATACTATCTCAGACATCTATGACATTTCAAAATTTTCTTTTGTACAATTTTATAATTTAGTTTTCAAGAAGTTGTAATTTGGAAATTAATGCAGTAACGCTCGAGAAAATCTGCTTTCTGACAGGCTAATGTTGAATCCCTGTTCGTCATTGCATTGATCGGTCGCCTAGCTTAAGGGGCATTAAGGGTTGCATCATGGCAAACGTTGCAGTCAATACGCAGTTCAGTCCTAATGGTAGAGATGTTCAGAACGTGTTGGACATGGGGTACAGGCTCAGCATTAGGTTTTGAAAGGGTCTGACTGTTCACTGGAAGTCCCGCGGACAGACATGTCGAGCTAACGTCAACACCAAATACGACATCGTCATAACGTGCAGAAATCAGCATAGCCGTAAAGCAGATCAGATTCAGATAAAGATCGAGATCGATGAATTCCTTGCAATCTGAGAACAGCAGTAAGACGATCCCAAGATTCTCTTAGATCCATCTATCGAACAGGTAATTGATATGTTTTGTCATGAATAGAAATGATAAACAGATCTGCAGTTGTTTCTGTATATTTCACAGTCGACATGTGTACATGTGCTCCAGACCTTCCCAACACCCAACCCTTCACTGTCACCACCTCCTGGGTTGATGGTTCCCAGGATCACAACATGTGGAACCACTACACCGCCAACACCCACGAATAGAAGTGGCATCGTATAGCCTGGTAATAGAGGGTTCGCACCCCAACATCTGCGAAATCATTGGCTTTCTGAAGACCGAGCAAAGCAACACTGCAACAATGATTGTCATCAGAACAGGCGGCAATTCTCGACCCAGAAAGAAGACATACAGGCAATTAGATAATGCCCTTGACAGGTATTAGCTTCAGTTTGAAGGTAGCAACAAAACTGCACCTAACTGGGTATTAATGTGAAGATATAAATGAAAATGTTTCAAAATACATGTTAAATGTAGAAATCATTGAATAAAAAGTGATAATAATTGAAATGGATTTCAACATTTTGTGTGACATAGTAACGCGGATATCAATAACAGTCTATACCCCGTATTGTTTTGTTTAGGGATCAATGCGCCCGTTCCAGTAACGACTCTCCTCACATCTTTGCGAAGCAGAAGCGAAAGCCAGCGTTACGATGTATTGAATGAGATTGGGGTTTGATCATATCTTGCCACGTGACAGCCTCCTCTGTATATGTCATGTCTGTGGCCCAAATCACTTACTGCCAGATGTGTGGTCTTGTTTTGGACCGGAAGTGGCATCTGAGGTGGCTCCTTTCCCAATCCTCCAATCTAGTTGGTCGCTCCAGCTCTGCTTCCAGCCACAGTAACCGTGATCAAAGTTGCAAGACAGAGCTGTGACATCTACAACATCAGCATGGCACTCTAGTATTGTCACAACAACATCGCCAAGTGTTGAACTAACACAACTGAGTAACGCCTACGTTTGTTGTTATGCCACAGTGCCGAGTGATGCTACAGTAAGACGCATGTGAGTTGGGTTAATGTATTCATGTTTATCTATTATCAAAGGACCTTTGCAAAGTCTATTTTGATTTGAATTAATAATTACCAAATTACGTCTACTGTGAACACTAACTGTCGGGTTTTCAAACGACATGTAATGGGGACCATTCTGGACCAATGATTGAAAGCATGAGCAAAGATGGAAGATATCCGATGATAGACAATGAACCATGTCACAGCCTCTGACCATCGGATCTCCTGTCGTCGGTTTATATGCATGCAAGTGGAACCACTTCTAGCCGGAAACTACACATGTCCATCTTGATTAACCCGAACTTAGTTGAATTAAGAGGTGAAGCAAAAGAGTTTAATTGTTACTCTAGAAGCCTACCTGATTATCCCGATAACAGGTGAGGTTACCAAGAAGTCAACCTACCTACTATGAACCATAATAGGAACAAAGAAACTGTGACACCGTACAAAGTCATGACTCTTGACAGAATATCCCAAGTAGCAGTAATATACACAAGGAGCAGACACTAACTGTGTACAAGTAGTATTCAGTCTGGATTAGACAAGATAGCCAGTTGTCGACCACTGTCGATCAAAGTTTACTAGATAAACTATAGTCCTGATACAAACCCCTACTGCCCCGTATGTTTAACATTGACTAGGCCCGTATATATACAGGACGCCTGTATTGTGATATAAAAGGGATGTTAAGTTGCTTGTGGTCAGAATGTTTTACTGCGATATGTTTACGTCACATATGGAAGTCTGATAAATGTTTACCACGTTTAAGATGAATGTAACATTGAGGATCAAGGTCAACCAATTTGAAGTATTTGAAGTCTTTGTCATTTACAACCCTTCACAGCTGACAATGACTTGCAACCTTTGACCCAATCAATACTGGATTAAATAACAAAGGAAGAATTTGGCATATTGTATAAGGCATTGGTGGCCCATCAAATTCAATTTCTCATCTTGAAATGCGTCCCCTGGCTGGCTGTTTGTCTCGAGAGTGACGTTCTTCCGTTTTCCGGTTGTTATTGAACTTGGGTGTCACGCGTGTTCCACAATTGCATTTTGTAGCAAATCCATCAATATTTCTGAAGAGTACCATCTCAATCCCACTCGAGGTATTTTGGAGGGCACGACACCTCACTAACGTGCTTACAACAATCATGTGGAGGCCTTGTTTGCACAACACCTCAATAACATACTTCAGATAGTCATGTAAGTACCTTACTTCCATACCATCACACTATCATACTTCAGATAGTCATGTATGTACCTTACTTCCATACCATCACACTATCATACTTCAGATAGTCATGTATGTACCTTCCTTCCATACCATCACACTATCATATTTCAGATAATCATGTATGTACCTTCCTTCCACAACATCACACAATCATACTTCGGATAATCATGTATGTACCTTCCTTCCACAACATCACACTATCATACTTCAGACAATCATGTATGTACCTTCCTTCCACAACATCACACTATCATACTTCAGACAATCATGTATGTACCGTACTTCCATACCATCACACTATCATACTTCAGACAGTCATGTATGTACCTTACTTCCATAACATCACACTATCATACTTCAGATAGTCATGTATGTACCTTCCTTCCATACCATCACACTATCAAACTTCAGACAGTCATGTATGTACCTTACTTCCATAACATCACACTATCATACTTCAGACAGTCATGTATGTACCTTCCCTCCATAAAATCACACTATCATACTTCAGACAGTCATGTATGTACCTTACTTCCATAACATCACACTATCATACTTCAGATAGTCGTGGCTCTACCTTACTTCCATAACATCACACTACCATACTTTAGATAATCATGTATGTACCTTCCTTCCATAACATCACACTATCCTACTTTAGACAATCATGTATGTACCTTACTTCCATAACATCACACTATCATACTTCAGATAGTCATGTATGTACCTTACTTCCATAACATTACACTATCATACGTCAGATAATCATGTATGTACCTTACTTCCATACCATCACACTATCATACTTCATATAGTCATGTATGTACCTTCTTTCCACAACATCACACTATCATACTTCATATAGGCATGTATGTACCTTACTTCCATAACATCACACTATCATACGTCAGATAACCATGTATGTACCTTACTTCCATACCATCACACTATCATACTTCATATAGTCATGTATGTACCTTCCTTCCACAACATCACACTATCATACTTCATATAGTCATGTATGTACCTTACTTCCATAACATCACACTATCATACCTCAGACAGCCATGTATGTACCTTCCTTCCATAACATCACACTATCATACTTCGGATAATCATGTATGTACCTTGCTTCCACAACATCACACTATCATACTTCAGACAATCATGTATGTACCTTCCTTCCATAACATCACACTATCATACTTCAGACAGTCATGTATGTTCCTTCCATAACATCACACTATCATACTTCAGATAGTCATGTATGTACCTTCCTTCCATAACATCACACTATCATACTTCAGACAGTCATGTATGTACCTTCCCTCCATAACATCACACTATCATACTTCAGATAATCATGTATGTACCTTCCTTCCATAACATCACACTAACATACTTCAGAAAAATCATGTATGTACCTTACTTCCATAACATCACACTATCATACTTCAGATAATCATGTATGTACCTTCCTTCCATAACATCACACTATCATACTTCAGACAGTCATGTATGTACCTTCCTTCCATAACATCACACTATCATACTTCAGATAATCATGTATGTACCTTACTTCCATAACATCACACTATCATACGTCAGATAATCATGTATGTACCTTCTTTCCATAACATCACGCTATCATACTTCAGACAGTCGTTGCTCTACCTTCCTTCCATAACATCACACTATCATACTTCAGACAGTCGTTGCTCTACCTTCCTTCCATAACATCACACTATCATACTTCAGAGAATCATGTATGTACCTTCCTTCCACAACATCACACTATCATACTTCAGACAGTCGTTGCTCTACCTTATTTCCATAACATCACACTGTCATACTTCAGACAGTCATGTATGTACCTTACTTCCATAACATCACACTATCATACTTTAGACAGTCGTGGCTCTACCTTATTTCCATAACATCACACTATCATACTTCAGACAGTCATGGCTGTTCCTTCCTTGCATGACATCTCACTAACATATGTCATGTGTCCATTGTGCCTTCACCATTGTTGACGTATGCATACATTGTGCCCTCACCATTGTTGATGTATGCATACATTGTGCCCTCACCATTGTTGATGTATGCATACATTGTGCCCTCACCATTGTTGATGTATGCATACATTGTGCCCTCACCATTGTTGATGTATGCATACATTGTGCCCTCACCATTGTTGATGTATGCATACATTGTGCCCTCACCATTGTTGATGTATGCATACATTGTGCCCTCACCATTGTTGATGTATGCATACATTGTGCCCTCACCATTGTTGATGTATGCATACATTGTGCCCTCACCATTGTTGATGTATGCATACATTGTGCCTTCACCATTGTTGATGTATGCATACATTGTGCCCTCACCATTGTTGATGTATGCATACATTGTGCCCTCACCATTGTTGATGTATGCATACATTGTGCCTTCACCATTGTTGATGTATGCATACATTGTGCCCTCACCATTGTTGATGTATGCATACATTGTGCCTTCACCATTGTTGATGTATGCATACATTGTGCCCTCACCATTGTTGATGTATGCATACATTGTGCCCTCACCATTGTTGATGTATGCATACATTGTGCCCCTCACCATTGTTGATGTATGCATACATTGTGCCTTCACCATTGTTGATGTATGCATACATTGTGCCCTCATCATTGTTGATGTATGCATACATTGTGCCTTCACCATTGTTGATGTATGCATACATTGTGCCTTCACCATTGTTGATGTATGCATACATTGTGCCCTCACCATTGTTGATGTATGCATACATTGTGCCCTCACCATTGTTGATGTATGCATACATTGTGCCCTCACCATTGTTGATGTATGCATACATTGTGCAGTCCTATGCCTCACTAGTTCTCCCGGCCCATTAACATGGGCCTCCTTTCACGAAGGTTACTAAGGTAACCTTAGTGCAATGTTAAAGAATGGGAGTAAAGGTTAACCTTAGTAAGGGTTGCTTCGTGAAAGGAGACCATGATCTCTGCACTGTACAGTGTGCAGCTTATCACAGCAGGGAGGGATGACATGACACATGCCGGTACTTCTGTGTGAACCTATCTTGAATGGTGACTTGAAGTACAAAGGAGTGCATCGCAGGTCATCCGACGATTGATAAGAGATAAAACAATCGTGACCCTGATATGGTGAGTTGCATGACCTGATAAGCGTGTTACGACCCACATGGGCAGTTATCACTGGTCATTCACTGGCATGATGACCCACGTGGTGCTAGTTCTGCTCGGCTTGTGGACGACGATTGTGGGTACGTCTTTAACATAACCGTACTTTGTATGGACGGTAATATTACGATTCCTACCTTTTCTGAAGAATTTAATTTGCATTACTTATTTATTCCTCCGCATATTGATTTCCTGTGTGGTGATTTAAATTAAAGTATTCTAAAAGAACTCTGTAAAGTGGACGAATAATTAATCATCAAATTCCAAATATGTTTCACGGTACATGCACACTTAATTACACTTCCCCATCACTTACAATAGGAGTGAACAATACGAGGAGACATATTACGGCAACCCTGCCGTATGTCCTGAATACCCTTCTGCACCACTCGCTGGTTCAGGTATCATGGGATTCAGTCTATTTATTCTCAGTACTACAACTTCGTATGTGACACGGCAGTTTTACCTATGGCCGCTTGTACGTTTACGTAACATACCAATTTACGTTTTGGCAGTTCCGGAGAAACATTTCTTCTTCCAACATTACTCACCGAATCTGACAAATCCAGTTTCGGTATATCAACTGATATCTTCATATCGACATGAAAATATCAATCCTTTCTGCAATTATTGATTACACAATTTCCAAAACAGCATCTATGTCAACAATATGACATTTCAATGAATTGTAAATACAGAATATTTGTATTATTCGTCAAATAGTGTTTACCTCATGGACTCGGGTGACAAAACTGATATTTAGATTAAATGCGTGCGATAATGTTATCTTTCTTAGATGATGAGATAAGATGCACATTCAGTTCGCAAAGAAAAGAGAAATGTTCTTAATATGATGTATTTTCTGAATAGTTTTCATAATTTTACTCGGACAACTATACTGGGATCTAACAACTAATGCCTCTCCATTAAAGTATCGAATATGTTTTTTGAATAAGTATTGTACTTCATCGCGAGAATTAAATACAAGACATACTGCATGCGTCAGATCTATACGTTATAAGTAGTATACACGTATTGCACAATGTCGTTTTAAGCAAAAACACCATGATATTATTCACAATACACTTTCTTAAATGGAAAATAATATTTATAGGGTTTTTTCCGTTTTGCATTGTATTCAGTTTGTATATTTATGTTAAACTCATACCAAACTATAATACCATAACTTTCGACAATCACCGGAAAGAAAGCAATTGTTCTAAAGACTGCACGTGTTTCTGATGACAGGTGCTGCGCAGTGCCTCATCAGTTGTGACTTTGAAGACGGTCTTTGCGGTTGGTCAGATTTGTCCAACTCGAGCTATGACTGGACGAGACACTCTGGTCCAACGGCAGATTTCACATCTGGACCTGGCAATGACCATACATTCAAAGGTAGGATATTACAACGCCACTTAAGGCTTCCGGGAACATAAGGCTAACAATGATGTTGCACCAGCCTTATACTTGCAGATGTGGCTGGCCACTACGTGTATACGAATGGCGACAGAGCAGCCAGGTCTTCAGTGGCACAACTAAGAAGTAATACAGTCACCCTTACATCCAGTGTGAACTTAACCTTTTGGTACCACATGAACGGTAACGGTATAGGCAATGTGTCATTAATCAGAGAGGACAACGATACTGACGACGGCATTGTTTTATGGTCACGTCATGGCCGCCAGGGTTTAAACTGGCTGGAGTCCCACGTCACTCTAGACCCAGGGACATTTCAGGTAAGACCCAGTATAGGCCACATTTTTATAGTGTCTTACATTCCTTTTCCTGATGAATTAATGCTGAGATTGTTATGGCTCACAATTGTCTCATAGTACAATGAACGTATGGATAACCAAAACATGTATTTGTTATATAGACGACAATTATATTCATTAGCATTTTTATGGTAATGGCCTACTTTACAAAACGACTTTGAAACAAAGATGGCATTAAAACAATAGTAAGGAGAATTAATTCAACCTGCCACTATAACTGTGATTAAAGGAAGCGATAAAGTGATATTTCATTGCAACTTTTTTCAATAACGGGAAATGGCTCAACTTAAGAACAGTACCTCTCTAGTGATTCAATAGGCGTTTCTTATGGCAGTGTATCTACACAAGTGAACTCTTTCACCTCGCAGTTGCAGTTTGAGTCGACTGTATCCCACCCCTACGGCAGCGATATAGCGCTGGACGATATCAGGCTTTGGTCAGAACCACATGGTAAGATTGATTTGGCCTCCATTCTTCCACTTATCTATTAGTCAAGACACCATTCAAATAAACTTCATTTATCTCACATTTCTTTGTCTACATAGTACACTCTTCTTGTCATAGCAAGGATGCAACACTGGATTATTCTATGTTGAACTGATTCACTGCCTCTAGTTACTAGGACAAGACCACCGCCAACGTCAACGATAGAAACTACACTGACGTCAGCGCAGGGAACGTCCACGACGACGGCGTGGAACTGCAACGTACAGAGCCCTGCTGGGGTGCTGATGTCGGGGTCGTGTGACTTCGAGACTAACGGGACATGCGGCTATACGTCCTCTGGGGGCCCGCTACAGTGGGGGCTAACACAGGGGAGGAAAGGTTACTTACATGTAATACCAGGCGACCATGGCACCGGAACAGGTACTGCAACTCACATGCAAAATATACCTGTTTAGTTTAGCCTCTCAAATCTCAGTACAAATGTCACGTCTGCTACGTCAGTGAACCTTACCGCCTACGGTGACGTAGTTCCAGCAGCGTCCTCAGCCGTGGCGGTCTCCACAGGTCTAGGTTCGAATCCCACCTTCAACCCGATAACGATCATTGGATATCACCATTCGTGATCCTGCCTTAAGCTGATATGCTATGATGCTACACGTTCAGAACGGCATTAAAAGTGGTCCTCTACCATGTCAGTATAGCACAGAGACAGAACCAGCATAGTGGACAGATTTGGGTGCACTTTCGTGTTGTCCTTTTTTTATAGGTTTCTTCATGCGGTAGCGTTAAAATGCAGGATGTAATATGTCTTTCAGCATATTCACCATTAGAGGCGTATTTGTTAAGTAGTTCGACATGCAATGGCCCAGTGCCATTGGAGACTTAACGGATTGGAGTGACCTCGACTGCACACGCATGCTACATTTAAGAAGGTCACCCTCCGTGTTTTATAGTTTGCGAGATTAGAATTAAGAGATAAGCCTACTGTCATTTGAAATTCGAGACAGTCTGACCGTAAATTACTTACGTCGTATTTCAATCAGCAGTTCCGATTTGGATCTGTGTTCACCATTAACATGAAGGTTTATTGGTAAAAGTAGACCGCCAGTTTAGCGAGTCGGCACTGCACAACACGTCTGAGAGACCACTCATTGTTTTGACCGATGATTGTGTCCCTGACACTGTTACTAGTATCTGACCTACATATTGTATGTGTTCAGAAGTAGATCATGTCGTATAAGCTGTTGTTGTGACATCGAACGTACACAAGTCTAATGGGTTATCGATAACCATTATTGTATGCCTCAATCTTTTCATACGCAATCTTTTTTGTTACTTTTTTTATTACTGAACTGAAGTAGATGCCTGATTTTAATCCCTTTTGTCCAATCAGAATCAAGTTTTAGTCGTTGCTATGGTAGAACGTTATCTATAACATATATATTACATGACTTAATTCAACAGACTCTATATTCTTCTCAAAAGGTCATTATATGTACCTTGCCACTGAAAACATCTCAAGCAGATCCGGGGATATGGCTAAGTTAACGTCGCCAGCCCTCGAGCTGAACACATCTGCCTGTCTTCAGTTCGCCTATATTATAACATCCGGGGACCCCATCACCCTCACCGTCTACGCAGAGACGTCAGGACAACAGCGTCTAGTAGCTTCGATCACAACTCATGGAATGACGTCTTGGAGAGTGAGAGAAAATGTCACTCTGTGTGCTGATACATCAACTAAGGTACTGAATAAAGCTAATTCATGAACACGAGATTGCACCGTAGCTATACATAAAACACGTAAATAATATTGAAATGAAAGCAACTTGTAGGTGTTGAGTTTAAAACATGATGTTTCCCACATTGTGAGATTGTAGCAAATTGGAAATAAGTGCTGTTACAGACATCTAATTTAGAATACTACACAAATAATGGCGCTGAAACCAAATCATGGATAAACGTTTCACGTGTGCTTCTGTTTCAGATTGTCTTCGAGAGTACAAAGAAAAGCTATGCATCTTTCATAGGTTTAGATGACATCAACGTTATAAGTGGTGATTGTGAGTTCATTTCAGAGTATGTCTTGAAAAATGACAAGCAAATTGACTTTGTACACCTCCTACTCCATTACCCAGTGCTTCGTTAGATTACAGTCCCGTTATAATACATACCAAGGATCCATTCGCCATGATAGTGACGTCAACAACACCATGATTTCGTTAACACTAATGTAGTGCATGATTACTCGCACTCTGCAACAATCAAAATGCCTCCACTTCAACACAGATCTGCTTCCTTAATCACGGCATATTATATGATTGCCGGTGTAGATAAACTTTCACCTGAAAAAGATGCTTTCTGAGTACTTTTGCGAGATGACTTTAAGGTTATATTTGAGAATATTCGCAAAACATCCTGCAAGAATAGTATAAATTGAATGTTTTAACAGGACTCCAAGCAAAGGTGTGGCGGCGAATTGGTGCAGGGAATTATCTTCATAGAATAGATAATAAATACCCTCGATTATCGAGGATGTATACAATGCTGTGCATTTTGCGTGATTAAGTTCGAATCTGTTTCCGCTAATAACCGAAGTTTGTTTTACCCTTTTGTTTCTCTTCACCTAAGCTAATATTCCTTGCATTCAATACGTTAAGTAGTTCTGTGACTATCCATCTAATTCCCACGTTGTATCTCTAAATAGGTAACGGCAGCTACAGCCATACTACCAGTCACCAGTCAACACTCGTAACATCCACACCTTCCTCAGACAGCACATCGAGCTCTCCCACGTCCACTGCCCACACAAACTTTACTCCAACAGAGGGTGGTCAAACAGTTGTCCCCACTTCTAGCTCGGTGTCCTCATCAACTGCCTCGACGAAGGGTCAAACAAGTGTCTCGCTAACAACTCCATCTTCATCTCCATTGCGCCAGTCGTCTTCCACCAAACTGACAGGACACAGTTTTCCATACACTGAAGAAACGTCCCCTGAGACAACCCACGCTTCTGCTCAACAATCAGAAAGGTCTTCTTCACCAGCAAGCTATTCAGTATCAGTGGAAGTAGCAGGGTCAGTGTCAGACAGTTCCTCCCTAGCAAACCCCTCCACAGAAGGAAACTCTGCAACAACGGAGGAAACTGTTATCTCTGACACCCATACGACGTCGTGTCAAGATAACAGCACTACTATTCCTGAGGCGAAATCAACAATAACTGTACTATCCGCTGCATCTGAAACCTCCAACAACAATAAAGGTTCTAGTGCTCAGACATCTCCATCAGTGACATCCAGGACACGTCTCCCCAGAACGACTACTCCTTTTCTCAAAAAGCACGGGCAGTCGTCCCAAGGTGGACTATCATACGATAACAAAGTTGTGGTCATCGTTGTGGCATGTGGTGCGCTCGTAATCGCTGCTGTTAGCATCACGGTGTGGAGACTGCGTGCAAGGCGAAAGTTGCATCTTTCTGACATTCCGAGTACTTTAGACAGCAACATTGAGCTGCAAGCAAAGGTATACATACACAATACACATATGTAGAACCAGTTGCTTCTTCTCTGAACGTGTTCTTGCTAATGGAAGATCACCCCTTCGGACTGCTTATAGTCAAGAGGACTATTGGTGATTAATGGATAAAGACATTTGTTTGTTGCCTTTTCACCAGTATTTTGGTTGTATCACAGCCACCTGTAAATAGCCGAGTCGGGACCAGGCAAACCAGTGGTTAATAGTATGAGCAACGCCCCACGTTGCAGGTGTACACTGAGAGGAGCAGGCAGCCAAGTCACCGAGCTGGACCTCTATTTGGTCGCCTCTTTCGGGAACTATATGTTACTGGGGACATTTCTAACATGGACCCCCAGGTTACCGGGGTTAGATATTCCCTGGGGTACTAATAACCTCTATGTGTGGGTGGTTCGCTTGGCACAGCTGCACCATTGAAAGCTGTGTGCGAAATAGTAACCAAAGTTTGCTAGCCAGTCGGGCTAGCTATGCCTGAAAGTTACTAGCCCACAAATAATTCACTAGCCCGAAATTTGAAAGTAGAAACTAAGTGAAAGATTACACAAATAGATGAGAATAAGATATTGTCGTCATGACACGGGTTTCATCATTAAGCTGCCAATATGATGAACATGTTTATCAGGCCATAATCCTGCATGATTTAAAAGTGTATTATGACTTAACAAGTCGGAGAGAGTGATATATTTACAAAATGACCCCATGAAAATCCACTAGCCAGTCGGGGCAGTGACTGTTGAGATTTGAGACTGGATGTTTTCTAGCCACGGGCTATTTCGCACAATGATTGAAAGTATTGTAATTTATATTATTTCATGTCAGTTAATCTCGACACAGCTGTTTTCTTTGTTTGCTGTGTGTTGTGTGAAGATCAATCAAATAAAGAGCACCTTAAGAATGTCACGTGTTTTGTGTACAAGTCGGATGTCAGATATACAATGTACATGCATCACTGAACCGCAATGGTTTCATTTCTAGGCTTTCTTTTTAATTCTCACTTTAATTCCGAATGAAACACCCGTGAAGATCCGGGTAAGAATATTGATCTTCAGTAACCCATGCTTGTCGTAAGAGGCAACTAACGGGATCGGGTGGTCAGGCTCGCTAACTTGGTTGACACATGTCATCGGTTCCCAATTGCATAGATCAAAGCTCATGCTATTGATCACTGGATTGTCTGGTCCAGACTCAATTATTTACAGACCGCCGCCATATAGCTGGAATATTGCTGAGTGCGGCGTAAAACTAAACTCACTCACTCATTCCGAATTAAACGGTTCACTCCCATTTATGAGTACTAAACGAAATGGGGTAGAACGGGTAAAATAATGGACTACTCCATCTTTTAGTCTGCCCATTCATACAGTCTTATGAGAGATGTTGTTACGTTCGATGTATTATTTGTTCTTACATTCTTTTTTCTTATTTCCACAACAATCACAGAGAATACCTTACCAATAAACATGTTTTGATATTCCCAACGCCAACTTTCACTGTTAAAGAAAGTCTGAAATGTTAGCTTGCCTCGAGAATCGTGATTGTGGGGTTATCACCATTTGATCCTATTTTAATGATGAGTGTTTGAAAATAAGAAAACTCATTACATTCCAAGCTAAAAAAACCCATGGCCTTACTTTGGCATAAAATTGAAAACAAATAAGGAAATCCCCAAATTATCAAACATTTTAAACTAGGTTATCAAACTTAGTGGACCCCATTTTCCTGGTGAACTCACAACATGTGCTTCGCTTTCGTTGATATCATTAAGCTCTCTCGTGTTCCAAAAGCACGAAAAAACTAAACGGTTACCGTCCGCACATTATCAGTACTGCGGCTAACGATGTTGTTTTTTAGCGGGCAGCAGTTTAAAACATGTATGAGTAGTCTCCCTTCGTTTATCGCTGCTAACTTACGAAAACAAGAGTCGAAACAAGTCACTTGTTATTTTCGTCACAGTGAGTGAAGACATGCGGCTGTGCATGTGCTGAAGCCTCTTATTGTAGCCTGTAGGTAACAATTTTGGTGCCCAAACGCATGTCAGTTAAGAATACGAATCTGCCTTCTATATATCATTTATATTGACATGTCGCACTTTGAAGTAAATAAACTCGTATTCCAGCCAAGGCCTACATCAAGCACACCTTGGTATAGTGCAAAGTCGTCTAGTTATATGCTGGACTAACTTCACGAGAATAACTTTTATGTAATGCTTATGACTAGATATTTATCCGATTTTTTACAATGAACGCGTTTGACACTTTCCAGTTGGGTCGCATATCACCATTCAAAAGGTAGTGCCGACTGTCTCTTGCGACCATTGCTACATTGTCCCATATTTAGGGCGTCCTATGTTCAGCGATGGCATTTTACATAACAAATGCACACTGCCCTGCTTCATGAAAAGTCAGAACTTCCATATGCTTGCTCACTGTGAGCAGAAGGAAAATGGGTATGAACAAATCTCAGTTTGGTTCAGAAACACTTTACAAGATGCACACAATATCCACATTTACTGACCTCTGTCCACTTCACAAATGTGATCGTGTCAGTGTACTGTAAAACATCAGGAGAGAATTTGCAGTGTGCACAACAAAAAATGTCATTGTCAATCACACTGTCAATGAAAGTGTCATAAGGCAGGAATGTAGGTGTAGGCGTGACTTTGGCAATGGTTGGATCTCATCTCGTTGGCTTTGTGGTTGTTGGATGAATTATCTTTTCCCATAGATGTGTCCACTGACTGATGTTACTGACTTGTTTTCTTTTAAGCTGATTCTGTTTGCCTACTATCTTCGGTTTGTCCTGAATCTCTGTGGTTTTGTCAGTTATGGTCTGGTCAGTTATTGCTTTCTCACCAATGATTTTACTTAATTGGTGCCTTGCTTTGAAAGTTTTCACATGCATTAAGACTTCCCCACCCCAAGATTCCAGAAAATCTTGTGCAGCAGAATCAGTGTTGTCAACAATCACATTTCCTGCCTATCAGTTGGGAACGCTTAATGTTACAGACTTTACAGCATATCAGTGCTGAAACATTAAGTGTATCTCATAGCAGTGACACAGTGATTGTGTAGTTCACTCCTGCAGTTGCTTAGCTCGTTGTAAGGGTATTCATTTATTTCAGTGCATTCCATACTTGTAAACGATGGACACTTTGTATTGGCTTTATATCGAATGATTTAAACACCTTTAAATCAATTCTTAGTCCTATCCAGGAGAATGGAATCAGAAACAGCCTCTACTTCAAAAGTTCAAGACTACAGTGAAAAGAAGCGTGAAAAAACGTCACCAGAGAGAAGTTGGAGAGTTATCTCCCCCTTGAAGAGACTGCCATCCCAGCCTGGCAACATGAGGTTATTTTCACCTGTTGATAGTGATCAGGAGCTCAATGACCTGGAAGTTGAAAATGCTTTTGGAGATGGTAAGTGTAACTAATCATTACCATTCTCGAATTTATGATTTTCCATGACACACTTTCAGTAACAACATTTACACACACATACAAATTGAGACATCTCTTAAGACATATCGGGGCGGTGGGGTAGCCTAGTGGTTAAAGCATTCGCTCCTCACGCCGAAGGCCCAGGTTCGATTCCCCACATTGGTACAACGTGCAAAGCCCATTTGTGGTGTCCAATTGCTGGAATATTGCTAAAACTAAAAGCGGCGTAAAACCCAACTCACTCACTCTTAAGACATATTTATTCATCAATATTTGGTATCAAGATATATTTGTGGTGTCAGAAATAACAAGATTTAAGCCTAGTGGGTTCCATCGAAGAACTTTGTTTTGGCTCATACATTGTTTTTTTTGCTTTCAAATAAGTATATATTTTGAGGTCCCTCTAATTTTGGAGATATATGTATTGTTTGGTTTCGAAATGTCACATGTGATTGCACACCCTCAGCATATGTACCAACATGTAGGATGGGTATGATGATACCAGTTACAAGATAATGGTAATTGAGTTTTAGTCCCCTTCAAATTCTGTTGAATTTAAATATGACAATGCTACTAACAAGGGGAGGTATGAATCAAGCATACTTTCCATTAACAGAAACTTCTATTATGTTTCTTCTATGGTCAGTCTGAAATAACTATGATTTTAAACATTTCTTCATGCTGATTGTTTTCCTGTATTTTGTTTGCAGGAGGGGGAACCTGACTCAAGCCAGTCACTCTTGTCACCATCCAAAGCAAGAAGATATGAGACTCCAGGCAAACTCAACCTATCACCTTTCAGGGTACGTCAATACAAGAAAGTATTTTAAAGTATACCTTATCACTGTTTACCTATGCTCCCAGCACATGTATATGTAGGTCAAACATGCAGGGCGGTGAGGTAGCCTAGTGGTTAAAGCCTTCACTCGTCACGCCGAAGGCTCAGATTCAATTCCCCATATGTGTACAATGTGTGAAGCCCATTTCTGGTGCCCCTGATGTTGCTGGAATATTGCTAAAAGCGGCATAAAACCATACTCACTCACTAAAAGTCAAGGATATCCTACTTGAAGTGTTTTATGAGGCAGACATTTTAAGCTTAGCATGATTGCTTCATGTTTGAGTGATACTGATCTTGCTGGTTGTGAGCTATTGTAAGGGTGGATCTTGGCTGTGGATGAGCCTCTAGCTAGCTACTTGTGCTCCCTACCAACTGAAAGTGTAGTTACTAGCTTGCAAAATGCTCCTGCAAGAGTCCTTTGTCAGTTGACTACTGGAGGAAATAACACAAAAGAGATAATTGGAGTTCCTTCAAGTGTAGATGACAGTACAGCCAATGATTAATGACTGTTTTTGACATTTTGCAGCCTTCAACAGTGATGACCAACCTCCATCGTGGCAATGTACAGACTATGACACCATCCATTGTTGAACGTAAACCCCAGTATATTTACCATCTAATTTAAACGAGAAATTCTGTAATCCCTTAGTATATCTCTAACGTTAGACAAACAGACAGGGATTAGAAGCTAGAGCCAAGTTGCATCATCTGGCAGTACATAGTAATAGTGAATTTGAATAAATAGAACGAAAAAAGTGACAATCTACGCTATGAAGTACTTAAGTAGTTGATCCAAACTGTAGCTTGAATACCTAGTATGAAGCTGTAAACAAGTCTCAGAGATGCCAACCCCAAAGTGTTGCAAGTGGCAAGGATTAAAATTAGTAGTTCGACCATAAAATTAGTAGTCATCTAAATACTTAAAATCAAGAGTGAAGCTTTAATTTCACATACCGGTTCGTATAATCGAACGGAAAGAACGGTCACGTGATTAAATCATTCTGATAGGATCATTTTCCACCGGTACACAATAAGTGGGTCAGATCGCAAAGGCATTGAAATCAGCTTCACATTTCTGATAAGACAATTTTCCAAAAAATTACGTTTGTTACTTGCAATGATTCCAGTTGAAATATATCATTAAATTTGATGAATGGAAGGTAAGTGAAATCCGAAAATGTATTTAATCGATGAAAATATATGTTTTTGTCTATATATCCGAATTTTAATTAATTTTCTTCAAATTTAGTAGAATTTCTAGTGCAATCGTATTGGCGTAGTTTGAGGCTACAATTCGTAGCGAGTACGATAAAACCGTAGAGGTTGGCATCTCTGCAAGTCTGTTGCCAACGACTAAAGCGAGGAGAAATGTATTGATTATCAAACAATACATGCATGTTCCAGACATGAGTATCCACCAGATGTCAGCCCAGGGGGAGCTGGTTATGCTGCAGCAGGAAATTCAGGAGGGTAAGTGAGGCTGACACATGAGTAAATATCCTGTATTAACCCATCGTTTTGGAAAGTCTGGCATATCAGTTGGAGGTTTGGAGTTCAATAATGTTTCAGATCATGTTTAAAGTCATTTTGAGGGCCAAAGCTAATGTCATTGGGAGAGAATGCTCTTATTTATGTTTGGTATCTGGTTTCTAATGATGATAATGGAAAGTACAATGTTGATTTGTTTGACCGTGATAATACTCCATGCCCACTTGGGTTGGTCTATGTTCCTTTGTGAGATTTTGCTGCTGGTACTGCAGGCTCGGACATCAACAAGCTGGATGAACAGGGACTGACCGCGCTACACTGGGCTTGTGCCAATGGTCAGATGCCAACCATGGAGTTTCTTGTACAGAGTGGAGCAGACATCAACCTGTCTGGCAACCATGGGGAGAATGCCCTTCTACTGTCTAGTTGCTATGGTTACAAGGAGATCGTGAAGTATTTACTTCAGCTTGGCATGGATGTCAACTGTACAGATGAGGTATGTCACTTGAAGGGAATCTGTGTTGGAAGAGGTGACATCATAATTGGGCATTTGGTATGATTCCCAAAGTGGGTGTCCTCCCATACCCTCTCAGTCACTGCCAGCCTTTTCACTAGGTTGTATGTTTGTTCAAATCTTGAAGTCATTAATTTCCATCTGCATTATGATAAAAAAAATTCTCTCGTAAATTTGAAGCATTTATGAGCCCTGGAACAAACTATGAATTGCTAGTGTGAGACCTCAGCTACCTGTTTCCCACCTGTGCTTGACGACTGTGTTTTAGAGTGGCAGCACTGCTCTGATGTATGCAGCCTACAACAACCATCCCGCCTGTATCACGGCCCTGCTGGAGTACGGGGCAGACATTACCGCCACCAATGAGGACATGTTGACAGCCTTCGATCTCACTATTGGACAGGATCACAAGCTAGGTTTGTGCAGTTCATTCAGCTGGGTTGTCAGATTTTCTTCATGTCTTGAGGTCTGTTCCTGCTGTATAACAATTGGTTGTATATAATCAAATCTAGACCAAAGAAATTAGTGATTGACATCAAGAACATCTCACACCATTTGGGTAAAGTGACACTCATTTAACCAAGCATCAAGTTTGACCATCTATTTAGTTGCCTCATACAACATTCATTGGATGCTGGGGACCAATGCTAACTCAGCATTCAGATGACTAGAGGCATTGAATGTACCATTCTATGGCATTAGTTGGACTACACAGTAGTAACCATGGAAACGATTGAGAGCACAGTTAAAGAAGGCCTGAGTAATCTATTCAGTTGAAAACTAAAAGACCCTTTTCATAAATATATGTAGTTTCTAATCAGTATTTATGACCAAGTTAGAGTGTAGAGGTAAATTCCAGCAGTACATGATGTTACACTGTGCTCTACCACCACTAGTTCTATCCTCTCTCCTTCAGCTCAACACGCCATAGAGAAGCACATGCTCTCAATGTTCGAAGGACTGACGTGACAACATATGAGGTGGATACTACACCCTAGCCCTTCCATGCATGTGACTGTGTCCTCCAGTGACTGGCTTGATGATGCCTGGCTTGACGATGCCCGGGCCTACCCCCAGGTACTGGGGCTGTTAGTGCTACACGTATCTTGGCAGAACACAAGAACTGTCTTCGTCATGTTTATTCATGACGGGACTCTGTCAGACAAGATGAAGTGTTAGAAGAGCAAGTTGAACACTAAAAATAACACACAACCGTTTCTGTGTCAAAATGATTTACTGAAATGAAGTCCTGTAAATGTAAACAGATGTATGTAACAATGGAATGTTTCACATGTAAAATTATGAAGGACACAGTGAGCTGACAACCTCCACACAGTAACCAGAAACTTTGTCTCAAAGAGAGTGGCAACATAATAGCTGACACATGAACAAATACTCTACATCTGTTATGCCAGCAGACCTTTTCAGAATGAAACGAAACTCCTTCAAACCAAAATTAATAGATTTTCAGTTTTCATACTTTGATGAAACTAGTAGCTTCAAAATCAACAATTTTTAATATATCCTGTATTTTAAGTATGCTTTAGATTAAAAATGTTTTGTTTTCAGTAAGCTGTCTTCCATACTTAGTTGCAAACACTGTGAAACAGTCTCATCCTACCGTAGCTATGGACACTGCATTAACTGTGAAATAAGAGCTTCTGTTTCAACTGGAATGGCTGCATCATGAAAACGCTGCTGTACCAGGTCGGACTCTGTACTTACCAACCAAAGAAAGAGGGGAACACACACAATTGTCTTTGTAAAACAAATTCCAACATAAACAGTTTATCTTTTAAGCATAAACACAACTGGAACAACACTGTCCACCACCTTGCACATATTGTAATGTCGGCACCAACTGCAGGGTTCAGTCGATGATATTGAGCACAGCAACATACCACACAAAATATCACATTTGGCTTATGCTTGCACACAATCCCTTCAACCAATGTAAATGCTTAAATTTTTAAATTTATACATATTTCAAAGCTAAACGTCAGACTTTAAATAAGACAACATGCTTTCCTTTTGTAATAGAAACATGAGGTGTACATCATATTTGTCAGGTTAGACATTGTATACCAGCAGCTATAATACAACCTCACGTTAAGAAATGCTAGATGACCCTGACCATATGATCCAAATTGAAGCACATCTGCAGGGCATGTGTGGTCTCTCCTTTTGTAAATCTTGCAATAACAGAAACAAGAAGAAGACATGGTCATCAGTATCCCCTACCACAGTGTTCTGTTCCTATTTTGACGACTATTCATTCTTCCTACAAATAGCGATACATAATGACTACTGACAGGATTACTGGTATGTCAGCAAAGAGAAGATCACAGGGTCATGCCCCGTTAAAAGTTGTAACACGGTTCCTGTTTTTTAACTCCACCATGATATTCATGTCCTGAAAACACATACCATTTGGTTTTCCTATCTATAAAGGTTACTGAGAAAATCCTGTTTGGGATAATGATAAAATTCCACTTGCAAAAATCAACCATGTTATGACTGCTTGCTGTAACAATCCCTATGACCTCCTCTTTCAGAGAACATACAGGTTTCAGTCCTCCAAACAAAAGATTCTGAAGGCTTATGTCTCACCATGTCACTATCAGACAGACAACTTGTGAAGAGTTTATTTGTAAACATAATGGTTTCATCCTCAAGAGTCACACAATAACATGAACTATGAAAATATATGACAAAAGTTCCACATGCTGAGATTTACAAATGATTTAGTGAACATGATCATTCCTCAAGGAACTTTGTAACACTGTGCTATAAGTTGGACGGTATACACACATTTCTTCAGGAGTAACACAATAGGAAATTAGAAATGTATTTTGCATTTCAGGACGGACATGTTCAGGACGGGTTATTTCGTATCAAGGACATATTCTTTCTTAAACTCAGGAAACTACAGTGAGACCCTGTTTGTCTGGACCATGTTCTGGAAAACCTTCCCTCCTCACATCTTCAACCATGATTCAATCATCGGAATGTTTGTTGAGCCTAACAATATTACTAGGACAGATACAATTGGTTCTAAAAGGGTTTCACTCATAGTTTGATTAAACTCTGTATTCCTTCACAGGTGGGAATATAATACATAAATCGCCTGCTCTTAGGGTTCTCAATCATGCACCATTTGCAAACAGTCTATTCAGTGGAATCACTTGGTGTGGTGTGAGGCAGCAGATATCTTGGTGTTAAAGTCCGACCATTGTTTGATGGACATCACAGATGTGGCGCTCCATGTATGACTAGCCAGCTCAACCACACACAAATAGTCTTTGTTACACAAAAATGTACTGAACATGTTATGTTGTCCATGTCATATCACAGTTGGATAGCCTAGAGGGAGCAAGTACTACGATCCACTTCATCATACAGATTCAAATTCCTTCTGCCATGAAAGGAACTTCCCCTTGAGATGTTTAGCGGAGGGCTTGGTGCGTTCTAGTGCAGTCAGGACGTCCCTGGTCAGGATCTTGTCGATATGGACATGTAGCTCCTGGCCTGAAACAATATTTATATACATTTACCATAAGCCATACATCAGAATATAAACAAAATGTGATTCTATATGTAATAGTGAGTGAGTGAGTGAGTTTGGTTTTACGCCGCTTTTAGCAATATTCCAGCAATATCACGGCGGGGGACACCAGAAATGGGCTTCACACATTTTGCCCATGTTCTATATGTAACAATACTCAATGACAGGGGCAACTGTACTGGGTGGATTATTATATTGCAATTTTCTCAGATATACCTTATATTATCATTATTATACTAAGATTTGGATAGCGTCAATATCCACCTCAGCTGCTCAAAGGCGCTTTGATTTTCTCTTGATCACTGGATATCAAACTCAAACGGCACATTGGATTATCAATCTCAACTCCCTGGGGATCATACAACTCAAGCAGCCACTCGGCGCACCGAGGTTATGTGGCTTTCCCATCCTTACGAGATACCCTTTCACAGCTGGGTGGACTGGGACACATAGTCACAGTACTTTGTCCAAGTTTTACTGCACATTGCTGTACCCGCAACTAGGTGTTTGCACGTATTCATGTATACAACATGCTTCTCATTAGTTGTTTTGTTCAATACAGTTAGGTATATTCAACATAGATACTGGATAAAAATAGGTCCCTGTAACCAGTAACTTCTTCAAGTGACATTTTCACTGACAAAATAGAAATGTCCTGACACCTTGTAATAATAATAATAATAGGCCATTTATATAGCGCGCCTTTCCACGTCGCAGGGATATGCTCAAAGCGCTTCCTGAGCTCAAGTTAAAACTATCTACAGTTGGCAGGTACGGATGATTGGAAGTCACTTGTAGCGGAGAAATAGATGAGTCTTTAGTCGTGTTTTGAATGTACTTAGGGAAGGAGATGATTTTAACTCGATAGGGAGAGAGTTCCACAGAGAAGTTGCTGCATATGAATAGGTTCTTGAGCCAAATGATTTGAGATTGTAGCTCGGGACAGCAAGTAACAGTTGTTGTGATGAGCGCAGAGTTCTTTCTGGAGAGTAATGTGTCAGAAGGTCTTGAAGGTAGGAAGGTCCTGAGTTGTAGAAAGACTGGTAGGTGAGGCAGAGAATCTTGAAGTCAATCCTTTCACGAATACGGAGCCAGTGTAGAGAGTTTAGAATGGGAGAGATGTGACAGCAAGTACTGGTGAGAGTGATGATGCGTGCAGCTTTGTTCTGGATTTTCTGAAGACGATGGAGTTGAGAGGAAGAGATGCCAAACAGTAAACTGTTGCAGTAATCCAGGCGGCATAAAATCAGTGTCCGCACAAGGGTGGCAGTGGCTTCTTTTGTTAGGACTTTGCGGATGCTGCCGATGTTCTTCAGATGGTAGTGGCAGGTCTTTACTAGATGAAAAGGCCACATAAAGTCTTATGTCACCAGCTGAATACACCCACTCTGACACAGACATACTGAAAGAGGCCCTGAATACACTATTCTCTCATTAGTCACTTGGCACTTATACAAGGAACAATTCTTTAAAAAGAATCAGTGAGAAAATAATAAACTTTAACCATAATGATCACCCTGATGGTGGTGAATCTAAAGACAGCACCTTCTGTGTGGTTGTCGAGAGCTGCAAATATCTTCCTGACAGGCCTCATAGCTGCCTCTTTACACAGCAGCTTGATATCTGACCCCGAATATCCTTCAGTCATCTGAAAACATTGGCAGTTCTCATATAACATTTACAAAACTACATGGATACATTGTTATATTTCCACTGAAAAAACACCAAACATTCAAGCCATGTTATCCAAAGAAGCTTCATCCTTATACTTCACACTGCTGCAAGGTACATTGTAAGCAATGACACATCATGGACTCCATCACTATATTCAGAACTGGGCCTTGATTATTTAAACGTTCATAGCCCTAAGAATGAACTTTTATTCATAGTCAATGTGTTAAGAATGGGCTTAAGAAGTTTGTAGGGCTACGAACATTTCGAATATCTAAGCCCTGGATTCAAGGTGCGATATGGATATGAAACCTAAAAGTTAAGAACTTCTTATTAAGGTTAACACATTCATATGCTCAAAGGAAAATTAAATTAGATTATAACATGGTTAAATTAGCAAGGAAATCATGAACAGCATGATGGCTCACGTTTGCTAATTGATCATAGTCTAGATCCGACAATATCTCCACTCCTGAACTATCCTTGGGTACAACTACAGGTGGGAGATGATGCTTGAACATGGCTCTCCTGGCTTCTGTTGTGGGTAGGTCCACTATGATCCGCTTCTCCAACCTCCGCAACATGGCATGATCCAACTCCCTACACACATAAATATCATTCTCAGTTTCAAACAATTAACCAAGTACACAAATGAAGTAAAGGAGACGGCTCAAAAATTGCACAGAACGTCAGCTGTAGTTTCATATAGTGTCAGCTTGAAGTGAGAGGGAAATCCATGTCAGATTTGCTTACTTACAAGTTTGGCGCTGACAAACTAAGAATCACAATCAGAACAAATGCTATTATCCAAAAGAACACCACTCTGGACAGCAAATTGATGTGCCTAAACACATTACCCATCCCTGCCTCAAGCAGCAGCGGATATATCCCCTCATAATTTCCTTTATCAGTTAAACTACTGCTGGATACAAATCAACATGCAAGAAACAATAATGGATTTACACTGAAGAATTTACAGTGACCATGTGAGTGCGTGAGTGAGTTTAGTTTTACGCCGCACTCAGCAATATTCCAGCTATAGTGTGGCGGTCAGTAAATAATCGAGTCTGGACCAGACAATCCAGTGATCAACAGCATGAGCATTGATCTGCGCAATTGGGAACCAATCAACCAAGTCAGCGAGCCTGACCACCCAATCCCGTTAGTCGCCTCTTACGACAAGCATGGGTTACTGAAGATCAAAATTCTAACCCAGACTTTCACGGGTCACAGTGACCATGACTAAATCACAGATTAGCTATAAATAAAAAAAACACTCCACCTGAATTACTTAACTCCTTATACATGTTATATTTGATCGCACCTCAATTTAAACTAAGGATTCCAGACTGAAAGTAGAAACCTGCGGTGTTTCCACGGTAGCACAATCTGGTATTCCAAATAATATACTGTTTTTAGTTTTTGATCTGATAATTCTGTATCCTATCTTTCAGACATACCCTACCACCCAGTAATGATACATTGAAAAACTTATATTAAATAACGACTGAGAAGAGGGATGCTGTTTGTACCATGGTAAGTTGGATGCAGCCAGAAGAAAGACAAGATCATCTGTCTTGGCCAGTCCATCCATCTGCACAAGTAGCTCTGTCTTCATCCTTCTGCTGCCCTCATGCTCACTGAAACACAGCAGCCTCATACAGCTGGAGAATACTGCAGCACTTACTGGCATATGCACGGGAAAGAACAACTTGGGCCTGATGACATACAATGCCAAGGTATGCTTAGTGATGTTATATCTCTAAGTATGGAACAGTATTTCTTACAACTAGGGTGGAACAGATACTTTCTAGTTTGTGGCCATTAATGACTGTATACAGAGTTCTAGTAGAAATGGGAATGGCAAGAGACCCTTTCTGTCTCCTCCCATCTACTCACCTTCCCCCGCCCTGTGATCCCCGCTGACTCATGAGTGACTCCAGTTCATCCAGGAATATTGTTGATGGTGCATGGAACCTGGCCAGCTCAAACAACACCTGCAACAGAGACCCAATACACAACAATATATCTCACAAAGTAACATTTGGATTCATGGTCAAATATACATACTGATTTTTGTACCAATAATAACAAGTGGCAATGTCCACAACCACTAAAGAAGTATGAAATGTTTATAACATATTTACTAGTTTTTACAAGATTCCTGAAATGACTGGTGTCTGCATAATCAACCAATGTCGACATAATTGAAGACATTGGGTGCAATGTCTTATGAGATATCGAGTTTACACAAGTTTGAAAAGTGGTCAAAGTGTCGTGGTGACCTTGAAAATAAGGTCAAGGTCACCTAAATCAATTGGTGTCTGCATAATCCCCCAATGTAGGCTGTCACCTAATTTGAAGACATTGGGTACAACAGTGCATAGGATATTCAGTTGACAAGAGTTTGAAAAGTGGTCAGTGTTGTGGTGACCTTGAAAATAAGGTCAAGCTCACCCAAATTGACTGGTGTCTGCATAATCCCGCAATGTAGGCTGTCACCAAATTTATAGACAGGAGACATCGCGTTAACAAAATCGGGACATACAGACGTACGGACGCCTGTCTCCCGTTCCACGCCACGGTGGGGGACAACAAAAGCTTCAGTGAGTGAGCTTAGAGTTACACTGCTCACAGCAATATTCTAGCTATATGGCAGTGGTCTGTAAATAATCGAGTCTGGACTAAACAATCCAGTGATCAACAGCATGAGCATCAACCTACGAAATTGGGATACGATGACATGTGTGAACCAAGTCAGAGAGCCTGACCACCCGATCCCGTTAGTCGCCTCTTACGACAAGCATGGGTTAGTGAAGATCAATTCTAACACGGATCTTCACAGCTAACAAAAGCTTGATATTACCACTAACCTTGACTAGCTTTTCTGAGTCTCCTCTCCACTTGCTGACTATGCTAGAGGCAGATATGTTAAAGAAGGTTGTGTTGCATTCTGTAGCTACAGCCTTGGCCAGCAGAGTCTTGCCTGTTCCTGCACAACACATGATACCTGCAGTTTCCACTATCACAATATACAGATTGTGTACAGATTTCAGCTTCATGGGTCAACATGCCAAGATAAAAAGTTTTAAAATTTACTCAAACATTTTGTGTATTGAACTGTATCCCTTCATGAAATCAATTCATTATTTGTGATCACCAGAAATCGAATATTTATGAATTTTCAAAACGGACTGTTTTTATTTTAATTTGGGTGTTATTTATCGAAGCAAGACGTGCAAAGTGGTATATATCCAATCCAGGCAGGATAATATTCACCACCCTTATTCATATGTTGAATCTAACAGTGATATGATCACTGCAACCCTAATAAAAATCATAAACGTAATGCATTTTGCTGGAGCCTACAAGGTAAGATAGTGTGTTATCTAGCAGGGTTAAAATGTACCTGGAGGCCCATACAGCAGTAGTCCCTTCCACGGAGACAGAATTCCTCGGAATAACTGGGGATACTGAAAGATACAGAAGATGATGTCAGATTACAGCTATGCACCACAGTACCATACGAAAACTGTATTCACTCAAAACTACTCAAACAACCAACTTGCTGTAAAATATTTTGTCACTTTCTTTTTACTAAACACATAACAGCAATCATGTATAAGAAAATACATTGTACAACAAGCCGTCTCTAACATACGGAGAAGACTTTGGCTTAGAATAAATCATATCTTTACTTTGGAGACCACACAGAGCCTAAAATCACCATATTACTTATGACAATGGTAACAATGGCTGCTAATGTTAAAGTAGAACACCATAATGCTAATAAACACTATAGACATTTAGAATAAATCATATCTTTATTTTGGAGACCACACAGCGCCTAAAATCACCATATTACTTATGACAGTCGTAACAATGGCTGCTAATGTTAAAGTAGAACATACCCATAATGCTAATAAACACTATAGACATTTCTTACCCTGATGGGATAAACAACGGCTTCTTTAACAAGTCGCTTTGCCTCATCTAAACCTATAATGTCATCCCACTTAACATTGGGATTCTGCAGGTATATGTCCTGCAAACAGATCGAAGAAAGTCATTAAAAGTATGGCAAACATTGATATTGATACTTAAGTATGAAGGCATCTAAAGCAATGTTCTCTGTATTTCATTTATTTAGTAAGAATAGATTTATCTCAGTATAAAATAAACTGTGATTGTGGACAAAGCTACATAGGTGAAACATTGCGACCCATCAACGCCCGAGTCAAAGAACATTGCACCTCTGTTACTAATTTCGACAGCAAATCATCCATCTCTGACCACATCAAAGCAAACCCCAATCATCAAACAGAGTGGTTTGACATCACCATTTTTGCCAACAACCAAACTGACTTCACTGAACGCAAGCTCACCGAAGCCATTCACATTAAACGCCATAAGCCCACCATCAACCGTGACAAAGGATACTTCATTCCATCCACTTATGATGCACTCCTCCACCAAGACCAATCTATTGCATAAACATCTCACCTATTGTATAAACATCTCCTTCATTGTAACTACTCCTGTATTTGTACATCTCTGGCTTCCATGCACTACCCTTTGTGTACTCACTGGCTTCATCAGATTACTGCTTAACCAGTTATGACAATTATGTTGTTTTCTTTGTCAAGTATGTTGTCTCATTGTTATATTTAGTATATATATATACATCTCCTTCACTTCATGTATCACTCTTGCTTGACAACGGTACAAGAATATGTATCAAAACGTCGCACTCACAAAATAAAGAAGTTGTTATCCGTAAAGATTTGTACATTGTACCCTACATAGCCTCCCAGAGGCTTCAGGGGTGTGTGTGGGGACGACTTCCCCTGCTTATAACCTGTGCTAGTTCTCTCATCTCACTGCTGTACCCAATATAGCCTCCCAGAGGCTTCAGGTGTGTGTGTGGAGATGACTTACCCTGCTTATAACCTGTGCTAGTTCTCTCATCTCACTGCTGTACCCAATATAGCCTCCCAGAGGCTTCAGGGGTGTGTGTGGGGACGACTTCCCCTGCTTATAACCTGTGCTAGTTCTCTCATCTCACTGCTGTACCCTACATAGCCTCCCAGAGGCTTCAGGTGTGTGTGTGGAGATGACTTACCCTGCTTATAACCTGTGCTAGTTCTCTCATCTCACTGCTGTACCCAATATAGCCTCCCAGAGGCTTCAGGTGTGTGTGTGGAGATGACTTACCCTGCTTATAACCTGTGCCAGTTCTCTCATCTCACTGCTGTACCCTACATTTCCTCCCAGAGGCTTCAGGGGTGTGTGTGGGGACGACTTACCCTGCTTATAACCTGTGCTAGTTCTCTCATCTCACTGCTGTACCCAATATAGCCTCCCAGAGGCTTCAGGTGTGTGTGTGGGGACGACTTACCCTGCTTATAACCTGTGCTAGTTCTCTCATCTCACTGCTGTACCCAATATAGCCTCCCAGAGGCTTCAGGTGTGAGTGTGGGGACGACTTACCCTGCTTATAACCTGTGCCAGTTCTCTCATCTCACTGCTGTACTACCCTACATAGCCTCCCAGAGGCTTCAGGGGTGTGTGTGGGGACGACTTACCCTGCTTATAACCTGTGCTAGTTCTCTCATCTCACTGCTGTACCCAATATAGCCTCCCAGAGGCTTCAGGGGTGTGTGTGGAGATGACTTACCCTGCTTATAACCTGTGCCAGTTCTCTCATCTCACTGCTGTACCCTACATAGCCTCCCAGAGGCTTCAGGGGTGTGTGTGGGGATGACTTACCCTGCTTATAACCTGTGCTAGTTCTCTCATCTCACTGCTGTACCCTACATAGCCTCCCAGAGGCTTCAGGTGTGTGTGTGTGGAGATGACTTACCCTGCTTATAACCTGTGCTAGTTCTCTCATCTCACTGCTGTACCCAATATAGCCTCCCAGAGGCTTCAGGGGTGTGTGTGGAGATGACTTACCCTGCTTATAACCTGTGCTAGTTCTCTCATCTCACTGCTGTACCCTACATAGCCTCCCAGAGGCTTCAGGGGTGTGTGTGGAGATGACTTACCCTGCTTATAACCTGTGCTAGTTCTCTCATCTCACTGCTGTACCCAATATAGCCTCCCAGAGGCTTCAGGTGTGTGTGTGGAGATGACTTACCCTGCTTATAACCTGTGCCAGTTCTCTCATCTCACTGCTGTACCCAATATAGCCTCCCAGAGGCTTCAGGGGTGTGTGTGGAGATGACTTACCCTGCTTATAACCTGTGCCAGTTCTCTCATCTCACTGCTGTACCCTACATTGCCTCCCAGAGGCTTCAGGGGTGTGTGTGGAGATGACTTACCCTGCTTATAACCTGTGCTAGTTCTCTCATCTCACTGCTGTACCCAACATAGCCTCCCAGAGGCTTCAGGTGTGTGTGGGGACGACTTACCCTGCTTATAACCTGTGCTAGTTCTCTCATCTCACTGCTGTACCCAATATAGCCTCCCAGAGGCTTCAGGGTGTGTGTGGGGATGACTTACCCTGCTTATAACCTGTGCTAGTTCTCTCATCTCACTGCTGTACCCAATATAGCCTCCCAGAGGCTTCAGGTGTGTGTGTGGAGATGACTTACCCTGCTTATAACCTGTGCTAGTTCTCTCATCTCACTGCTGTACCCAATATAGCCTCCCAGAGGCTTCAGGTGTGTGTGGGGACGACTTACCCTGCTTATAACCTGTGCTAGTTCTCTCATCTCACTGCTGTACCCTACATAGCCTCCCAGAGGCTTCAGGTGTGTGTGGGGACGACTTACCCTGCTTATAACCTGTGCTAGTTCTCTCATCTCACTGCTGTACTCCAATATAGCCTCCCAGAGGCTTCAGGGGTGTGTGTGGGGACGACTTACCCTGCTTATAACCTGTGCTAGTTCTCTCATCTCACTGCTGTACCCTACATAGCCTCCCAGAGGCTTCAGGGGTGTGTGTGGGGACGACTTACCCTGCTTATAACCTGTGCTAGTTCTCTCATCTCACTGCTGTACCCTACATAGCCTCCCAGAGGCTTCAGGGGTGTGTGTGTGGAGATGACTTACCCTGCTTATAACCTGTGCTAGTTCTCTCATCTCACTGCTGTACCCAACATAGCCTCCCAGAGGCTTCAGGGGGTGTGTGTGGAGATGACTTACCCTGCTTATAACCTGTGCTAGTTCTCTCATCTCACTGCTGTACCCTACATAGCCTCCCAGAGGCTTCAGGGGTGTGTGTGGAGATGACTTACCCTGCTTATAACCTGTGCCAGTTCTCTCATCTCACTGCTGTAGTTACATAGCCTCCCAGAGGCTTCAGGTGTGTGTGTGGAGATGACTTACCCTGCTTATAACCTGTGCTAGTTCTCTCATCTCACTGCTGTACCCAATATAGCCTCCCAGAGGCTTCAGGTGTGTGTGTGGAGATGACTTACCCTGCTTATAACCTGTGCCAGTTCTCTCATCTCACTGCTGTACTCCAATATAGCCTCCCAGAGGCTTCAGGGGTGTGTGTGGAGATGACTTACCCTGCTTATAACCTGTGCCAGTTCTCTCATCTCACTGCTGTACCCTACATTGCCTCCCAGAGGCTTCAGGGGTGTGTGTGGAGATGACTTACCCTGCTTATAACCTGTGCTAGTTCTCTCATCTCACTGCTGTACCCTACTACATAGCCTCCCAGAGGCTTCAGGTGTGTGTGTGGAGATGACTTACCCTGCTTATAACCTGTGCTAGTTCTCTCATCTCACTGCTGTACCCAACATAGCCTCCCAGAGGCTTCAGGGTGTGTGTGGGGATGACTTACCCTGCTTATAACCTGTGCTAGTTCTCTCATCTCACTGTTGTACCCAATATAGCCTCCCAGAGGCTTCAGGGGTGTGTGTGGAGATGACTTACCCTGCTTATAACCTGTGCCAGTTCTCTCATCTCACTGCTGTACCCAATATAGCCTCCCAGAGGCTTCAGGTGTGTGTGTGGGGACGACTTACCCTGCTTATAACCTGTGCTAGTTCTCTCATCTCACTGCTGTACCCTACATAGCCTCCCAGAGGCTTCAGTGTGTGTGGGACGACTTACCCTGCTTATAACCTGTGCTAGTTCTCTCATCTCACTGCTGTACCCAATATAGCCTCCCAGAGGCTTCAGGTGTGTGTGGGAGATGACTTACCCTGCTTATAACCTGTGCCAGTTCTCTCATCTCACTGCTGTACCCAATATAGCCTCCCAGAGGCTTCAGGTGTGTGTGGGGACGACTTACCCTGCTTATAACCTGTGCTAGTTCTCTCATCTCACTGCTGTACTCTCAATATAGCCTCCCAGAGGCTTCAGGTGTGTGTGTGGAGATGACTTACCCTGCTTATAACCTGTGCTAGTTCTCTCATCTCACTGCTGTACCCAATATAGCCTCCCAGAGGCTTCAGGTGTGTGTGTGGAGATGACTTACCCTGCTTATAACCTGTGCTAGTTCTCTCATCTCACTGCTGTACCCAATATAGCCTCCCAGAGGCTTCAGGGGTGTGTGTGGAGATGACTTACCCTGCTTATAACCTGTGCCAGTTCTCTCATCTCACTGCTGTACCCTACATAGCCTCCCAGAGGCTTCAGGTGTGTGTGGGGACGACTTACCCTGCTTATAACCTGTGCTAGTTCTCTCATCTCACTGCTGTACCCAATATAGCCTCCCAGAGGCTTCAGGGTGTGTGTGTGGAGATGACTTACCCTGCTTATAACCTGTGCCAGTTCTCTCATCTCACTGCTGTACCCAATATAGCCTCCCAGAGGCTTCAGGGGTGTGTGTGGAGATGACTTACCCTGCTTATAACCTGTGCTAGTTCTCTCATCTCACTGCTGTACCCAATATAGCCTCCCAGAGGCTTCAGGTGTGTGTGTGGGATGACTTACCCTGCTTATAACCTGTGCTAGTTCTCTCATCTCACTGCTGTACTCCAATATAGCCTCCCAGAGGCTTCAGTGTGTGTGGAGATGACTTACCCCTGCTTATAACCTGTGCTGGAGAGCTTCTATAACCTGTGCTAGTTCTCTCTCTCATCTCACT